TACTTATTAATTTTTTTTATGACAGTAATTTTGAAAATGAAACGCTCAACTCAAATAACAGTAATGCCAATCTGAACCCATTTGTGTGATTTCTTCAGCTCAACAGAACGACAGATAGTCGACCTTCATTCCACCCTGAGTTTAAAAATGATGGATTCACAAAAATGTTCTGAAAAATTTCGATGTAAAATATTGTTATTTAGTCAATAACTTTAAAAAGCAAAACAAAAGTCGGCATTTAGAAGACAACAACTCAGGATAGGGTGTCGTTTGTAAAGTTGCATAAAATTGAGTGTTCATTTTTCAAAGTCATATTTTCACTGTCAGCCATACAGTCATACTTTAAAAATGATGTAGCTTTATGTTATTAAAGCTAAAGTTTAATCAGTAATACTTTTACAACCACTTTATGTCAGATTATGATTTCTTGGTTAATGTTAGTGATCCCAGGCACAGCAGCTTCACCATTCTCCCAAGGAGCGGAGGGGGAAGCTGGCGAGTGGGGGATCAGCTGCAGGTCTCCATAAGAGTCAGAGACTTCCACGGCCGTCCTAAGAAGTCTGGAGGAGACGTTCTACTGGCTCGGCTTCACAACCGTACTTTCACGCTGGGGTGGCGGGGCATGTGGCGGACCATCGCAACGGCTCCTACTCTGCCTTTTTTCCATTGCTCTGGGAAGGACAAGCACAAGTTGAGGTAATTCAGGCTTCAGACTGGCTTCCTAACTTTTAGGGGTAAATAAAAAGATTTGGTGAAAGCTTCATAAGCTGTTTTCATTTGCCATGCATACAGAAGGGTGAAAGAAGATGGTTTATAATACTAGATCCAAGAGACTGCGACAAAGTTAATCAATTTCCATAACCGTCCATGTTCACAAATACACATTTGATGGTATATACTGTATGTCTTCGTAATGCTGCTGGAATCTTGTTGCCAAATGGCTTTAAAAATGGAAAATTTTGAGTTTTTCCATGTAAAATGATAATTTTTTATCAACATCCAGGGTATTTGTTCAGCAAATATTCATCCTGTACAGGTTTAATTAAAGGGTTTTGGACTGTAGACTAAAACAGGCTTTAGCATCATTAGCATTGATGAGACGTTCTGAAGAAGATGCTAATGTAACCGCATCCTTTCTGCGTTGTGCTGAAAAATATGTCAATAAAAAACCCACACAGGACAGAAAGCCTGAATAATAATAGATTTTTAAACAAAGTTGACGTTAACAAAACATCAATAAATCAGAATGGAAATGATCAAGCTCACTTTCATTTACATGCAACTAATTGATATCTTACTGTTGCTGCTTGCTGTTTTGTTTTTAGTGGCGTCAATATGAAAGTCTACATTCCAGCTTCAGGACCTGAAAACATCGACATTTTACCAAATCCAAAAGGTAAACCCCAGGGTTGGGCTGTTTGTCTTCTTCTTCTTTTTTTAAATCTTTTGTTCCATTTTTCTCCTAGTTGAGAAGATCAACATCTCTATTTACAGACATAAGTGACTGATTTTATTAAGCTCTCCTTGTAATCAATTTAACACGGATTGGAACATTTCACAACTTACCTGTTGAGTAAATCCATGTGATTAAGATTTTAAATAGAGCATTCTGTTTGAATCCTCCAGATGAAAACGGAATGAGTTTCAAGACCCGCCCCTCTGGTTATTACTACAAGAACTCATGGCAAGCACTAGGTGGCGCCAGAGTACATCAGTTTAACTCCAGTGCAATCAGCCAGTGTCTGAAAGGCAAAGCTGTTCACATCTATGGAGACTCCACTGTGAGGCAGTGGTATGAATATTTAACCGACTCGCTACCAGGTATCTCCCCGGCGAGATTTCTCAGTGGAAAACCGGCTCATGTTGCAGTCTAACATGTTGTGTCTTTTCTAAGATCTCAAGAAGTTTGACCTTCGCACCCCAAAGCAAAGTGGACCTTTAATGGCGCTGGATTACGTGAACAACATTTTCGTGACATTCCGCAGCCACGGCCCTCCCCTCCGTTTTAGCAGCTCGCCCGTCAGCCAGCTGCATTACGTCGCCAATGAACTGGACAGAGTGATCGGAGGCACCGACACCGTTGTGGTCATCGGTGTCTGGTCTCACTTCAGCACTTTCCCTTTCGAGGCCTACGTCAGGCGTCTGCTGAGCATTCGGAAAGCGGTGGCAAGACTTTTGAGCAGAGCTCCGGGTACCACTGTCGTCGTCCGGACCGCGAACCCAAAAGAGATGACGCTTTTTGAGAGTTTGACTAACAGCGACTGGTTTTCGCTGCAACAGGATAAGATACTGAGGGAAATATTCAGAGGAATGAATGTCCAATGGTAGATGCTTGGGAGATGGTCCTGGCCCATCACCTTCCGCACAAACTCCATCCGGAGTCGGACATACTCAAGAATATGGTTGATGTTCTTTTATCTTTTGTATGCCCTTAAGCTGACATACCGCTAGAGGACTTTCCTTCCGTTTCTACTTCTCCTTAAGATCCTAGAGAAAAGTAGAAATGGATTTTAGGCGATTGAGATTGGAATTGGGGAAAATATTGGCGCCATATTGTTACAATTGTTTCATTCGGTTGTTCTGAAACAACCGAATGGTCTGTTACTGATATGTTAGCGTCTTACAAAAGCATCTTCAGTGATTCCTGTCGCGTTTCAAAGACTTTTTCAGGCTGAGGACCACCTGACCCTTTTGACGCAACAGTTATTCTTTTGTTTTTGTTTGGAAATAATCCCACCAGATTTGATTCTGATGCATCTAGCATCCTCTGCTGAAGCAACATTAGCGCATTAGCATATGTTGGCTGAGAAAATGACTGAACAGTGGTCTCTTACGACACCGCGGAGGTCAACGTGACTGAATTTGCACTCGTGTCGCACAGAAATGACCAGTTTCAGTTTCAATAAAGTGCTACTATCAGAAGCTGAGAGTATTTTGACTAGCCTTCAGCCCTCCACTGCTGTCATGATTTCTCGATTTCTCACGTGTCTACAGGTTAACACAGTATTACAGGTATCTGCAAAATCTTAGTCAAGAGATTTCTACCTCATGATACGATAGTACTGAAGTGACATATTCTTAATCTCCAACGCATTTTGAATTCTCCTCCTATCAATATATATATATTGCATTCCGACCTGCCAAGCTTAAAATGAATTATTTTCCTCTTGAAAAAACAGTTAGCAGGAATATTGTTACCACAGTTTAAGGTGGCCAAAGAAGTTTTCTTTACAATTTAAAGGTCTTTTGATGTACATTTAACATGGATAACAGTTTTTTTTTTTCATATAAAGGTACAGATTTTTGTGTCATGAAGTAAATATTTGAAGGCAATTTTAGAAGTCAGAGCTATACAACAAATGACATTTCAAACTGAATGAATCACAAAATGTTTCACTTTTCTGAAAAACCATTTCTTTCTTTTTTTTATTTTTATTTAAAGAATGTAAACGGTGGTTGCTTTTAAACAGTTCGGCGAACTGAAATCAATCTTTCTTGCAAAGAAAATGACAATTATCACAAAAGGCCAACTGCTGTGTTCAAGTTCCCTCTTGAAAAGAAAAAAAACACTTCAGTCGTTTTTTTTTTTTTTTCTTCTTAAACCTTGCTTAAATAGCCTACTGCTTTCTGCTGACTGAGCGGTTCGATGGCAGCGTTAATATGATGCAACAGCATGCAAACAAACTCTTCGTCACCTAAAGTGGAAGTGACAATGTGGAAGCAACCAAACAAGCACAACGTGGTAATGAAGTCCGTCAATGGTTACCACTGTCTTTAAACATCAGGCCTGCATGTTGGCTGAACGTAAATAGGTGGTCCTACGTAAGCAATCAGAATATACCAACTATAGTCTGGTTTATAAAAGAACTGCTGGATTCATGGCACACAGTTCCCCAGTATTGAATGGAAGTGACTCCCTTGATGGCTTGTCTATAATGCAGAGAGTAATAAGATAAAAACCTGCTTGGACCTGGACAAGTTGCTCAGACACATTAGATTTTTGTGCGTCTTTCTAGTTAATTTACTTCCTGTGTCGTCTTGTTTAGAGCGAATGGATGCATCCAAATGTTCTGCACAAGACACCAGCAACTTTCTTAGATGAGGTTAAAGCAATCTCATATGTTCTACTTTGGTGTGATTAGACAACACCAAAGTTGTGTAACTTTGGTGTTGTCTTTTATACTGTCACATGCTGGGGATCTTAAACGTGGCAGACAAATTCAAATCACCCAGAGGTCAGATATCTGTGTGTTTCTATAGACATTAATGTCCAAGTTGAGGTCAATGTTGAACTATAAAATGTACCGTCTGCTATATTTTCATGAATGTATCTGCATCGATACTGTTGGCACAAAAGATGTCTAATAGAAAAATAAAGTAATATTTACGTCACTACTGATAACTGGTATCAAAAATTCCATTTCAACCCAACTTCTTGGTAACTATCCCTTTCCATTTTTATTCACATAAATATATTTTTTATCTATTAAACTTGTGTTGATTTTGATTATTAGACAGTAATTATTCAGTTTTTTTTTTTACCAAACCATTTCATACAACTGGGGTATTAGGACCACTGTAGATTTGGAAAAGGTAAGAGAAATAAATCCCCCCGCCCAACAAACTCATACATTTTTAGATTTCTTTCAAATTGTTTTCTTTTTTTCTTTTTTTAAAGCGAAAGTTTTACAAAACGCAAATATTGAGATTAATGTCATAAGGTTTTTCATTTTATGTCAAAAAGAAAATTTTTCAGCTTTCGAAACTCAGAAATTTCCATTTTTTTTCTGGAAAATGTCTGAGATCTCCAAATTCTTGAGTTTGTTTTTTGGGAAATGTTTGACTTTTCAAACTCGAGAATTTCTTTGTTTTTTCTTGGACGTTTTTGAGAGTGTTTGGCAGAAATGTAGTTGAGTTTTCTTCTTCTACCTCCAATATCCCTAATGTACAATCGTGATTTCAGAAGTGACGCTGCAACGCAGCAAAAACGCACTTGCCGGTCTATTTATTAATTTATTTTGCATTCCACACGTTACATGTTCTTTTCATAACCTTTAAAACCAATAGACGATTGAATTCAGAACATGGACGTAAAGCAGAGATCATCAGTCAGCCCTGATCGACATCATGCTGTACCTCGCCGAATAAGGCATCGGCCTCCAGGTGAGCCAGTGGAGGCCTGTAATCGAGACCTTGGCGTCTTCTTCACGGTGCCAAAAGCCATTCAGGTTAGTGGTGAGGCAGTCGCAGCAGACGCGGTTGTGCCACCAGCCGCCGATGTTGGTACAGCATGTGGAGATACAAAAGCGCACTATCCTGCCTTCGTGATAGCACGGGGTGGAGCACTTGTCGTTGGGGCGGTCGAGGGTACTGAACTTGGCGCCGTTTTGGTCGCCGCCCGGTTTGGAAAAGCGGATGGCGTCACCTGGGTGAAGAGACGGAAGCTTTACCATCAGACGACAGGGATCGTTTTTGATTCTGTGTTTGAAAACTCCACAGAACCCATCAACTACACAAAGCGATTCATCCTCTTCTTACCTGCAGTCCCGTTGTACGCCCCAACATGCAGTCGATATGCCGTTCCCTCGTCTCCGATTCTGAAGTCTCGGTACTCGGCATACGCCGTTTTGCGATTATGATCCCACAGGTCCACCCTCAAAGTCCAGACTTTGCTTGTGTCATTGGTCAGTATGTGCACCTTCTCTAGTCCAAGCCAATGGTCGTCTGAGGAATCGGAGGAGCAAACAAAGACAAACATCCAAATTTAGCTCCAATATCTTTGCCAACGAACAAAGTACTTGATGGATGCTTGATTTCCTTTCAACATTCAACAATGCTTGTCGAGCTTTAAAAACGTTTTTTACATTTTTCAAAAGTCACATTTGGCACACAAGGTCGCGAGAAGACGAGTCACGTACAAGTCATGTATCCAAACCCGTTTTTGTACTCTTCCCATGTTCTGCCAAAGTAAGTCGCTGCTCCAGTTCGTCTCTGGATCACGAGCCAGCCGACCCCCCTACGGTTATGACAGAACACCTGAGGAAGGAAGTCCAGCAGAGAGTAAAACACAGCATCATGTTTCAGTATTTCTTTGAAAGGCTCAGATGGTTTCTCTTGAAAAGCAAATCGATTCGACCAGAAAAAGACCGGGACAGTTACATCTGAAAAATGCATTTTCTAGACAGACGTAAAGTAGAAAACCTTCATGTTCGTTCAGACTTACTAAAACTGAGGAGTATCAGGGGTGTCCAAACATTTTGCAATTCTTGAAACAAACAAAATAGCACAGAAGTGTTTATCTGTTTTTTTTTTATACAATGGATTATTAGGGTCTTGTAGATAAAAGAAAAAAAGGTTTATGTTTCTACCAAAAAGCTCAGAAATTCTGAAATTAATCTCAGATATTTTCGAGAAGTACCCTGGAAACTCTAATAGTAGAATATTTGTGAGGAGGGAAAAAAAAAAAAAGAAATTTTCGGAGTAGTTTTACCGGGTCCCTATCATCCCTGTTAACGTCTAAAGGATGGGGGTCAGGGGTCAAACACATTTTATGTTCAGTTCTGATAGCTACCTCGAAGCGAGTTTGGCTTCCTGTTGGCTGGATGAGGTAAATACTGGGTCTCAACGACGGAGGCCTCAACTTTGAGCAGTCTTTTTCCCCCCAAACGTTTTCAAGAGAAAAAAAACAAAACAAGCAATTAACAGGATATGAAATCGAGTCTTTAAATAAATAAATTCTACATAAACGAAATATACATCATTAGTAAAGGAAAGCTGCTTACCTGAAGGCAAATCTGCTGCCTGTATGGCAACAAAAATGAAATGGTTATCATGCAGGACGTAAGAAATTGTTCAGGTCAGGATATTTTCAGAGGTCCAGTCGTTACCTGGTCGGAGCGGCTCAATGCAGCCGTCAACACCAACCCGAGGAAGCCGAACAGAGCCTTCATTGTGACCTGATTAAAGGGCAAACACATTAAAATGAGCTTTTAAAAGAAAGGAAAGCAAAAATAAAATAAACATGCATCTTTCCTCAGATACGTACCGTTTTGCCGGGTGAAGATTGAATCTGAGCGTCCTGAGAGGAATCGGTTTCCTTTAAATGCTGAGACGTTACACCACACCTCCAACTCTTTGTGAGATATCGGCTGAATCGCTTGTCTTCGTTCAGGACAAACAGTCCTGAAAGTAGAAACATTTGAACTCGTCATGTAATTGGGCCAAGATTTAAAAAAGATATTGATAAGACGAGGCATATGTGGCGTTCAGATTCAGATTATCTTTACTGTCGCTCAGTGTAACGTCAAAGATACGCTGCAGAAGGAAGTTACGGTGAATGTCAGGTCACTAACAGAAACCAGTCAGATGAACTAGAATAATATAAAAAGAAGAAGAAGATAGAATGAAAACCAGATGAAAAACAGGCCAGGCCCTGCAAATATAAGTGCAGGCCTTCGCAACTTCTACTGCGCTTTGGGGCTGCATGCAAATTGAAATGCATCAAGTGAAGAGGGGATGTGACCTTTGACCAACCTTTCAAAAGCATTTCATGATTTTGGATGTAAACGCTAATGGCTTTGTGGTTAAAATAAAGCAGAAGCTTAGAATCTACCACCTATAAGCACAGGACTTGTGGACTTTCCTGTCGGGTTGGACTCTGCAAGACAGACATCTGCAATTTGGACCTGCAGAAACGGGTTCTACCGGTATGTCCGGTGTCCAGGCTAGAAACACCCAAAAGCTACATTCCTGGCTGACCCTGTACAGAACGTCCAGGCCTTGTTCTCAACGTCCCCCTGCGTTGCTAATGAAACATTTCCTTTAGTTGGCTTCAACTGTTGCTTCTATGGTGCCTGCTTGGGATTTCCTGTTGCACAAAGAAGAAATTCCAGCAACTTTGAGATATTTTCTGCATCAGTAGATGCAGAAAATATCTACAGTGTATCTTCTTAAACTGCATCATGTCACACAGACGCGGTGCCTGGTAAACACACATAAAAAAAAAAAAGAAAAAGTTTTTTTTGTATTTTGAATGCTTCTTTTCAGCACTTTGAACACAGAAAAACTCCCTATCTATCTTTGTCAAACAATAAAACATAGAGCTCTGCTGCATACTAATAAATTCATTGATTAGTTGGGTTTTTTAAATTATTATTATTATTATTGTTGTAACCAATTTTGATTGAAAATCCAACACATCCTAAGGGGTCTTGTTAACTGTTAATACTTGTATTTGTCACACAATGCAGCTACAGAAACAATATGTTGCTTAAAGTTAGTTTTTTTTTAAGACCCACAAGTAAATAAGTGAGCATGTAATTCTGCTGTAAATATAACTGAATACTAAAAAATGTTCCCAGTACAATGGCTGCTGAAAATCCTAAATTGGCACAGAAGCCAAAAATACAAGAACGTTCACATCCTGCTGGGATAAAAAAAAAAAAAAAAGATTGAAATTGAATTTTAGTAATTATTTTTGATAATCCACCCTAAGAGAACAACGGCAGAAAGAAATTCAGAGACAGATTTGGGACTAAGTGAAGTATCAAGCGGGTTCCTCTGGATCATCTGGATCACAAAGTCCGAGAAGGAATGTTGCCTCAGGGCATTCATTTTTACTTATTAATTTTTTTTATGACAGTAATTTTGAAAATGAAACGCTCAACTCAAATAACAGTAATGCCAATCTGAACCCATTTGTGTGATTTCTTCAGCTCAACAGAACGACAGATAGTCGACCTTCATTCCACCCTGAGTTTAAAAATGATGGATTCACAAAAATGTTCTGAAAAATTTCGATGTAAAATAGTCAATAACTTTAAAAAGCAAAACAAAAGTCGGCATTTAGAAGACAACAACTCAGGATAGGGTGTCGTTTGTAAAGTTGCATAAAATTGAGTGTTCATTTTTCAAAGTCATATTTTCACTGTCAGCCATACAGTCATACTTTAAAAATGATGTAGCTTTATGTTATTAAAGCTAAAGTTTAATCAGTAATACTTTTACAACCACTTTATGTCAGATTATGATTTCTTGGTTAATGTTAGTGATCCCAGGCACAGCAGCTTCACCATTCTCCCAAGGAGCGGAGGGGGAAGCTGGCGAGTGGGGATCAGCTGCAGGTCTCCATAAGAGTCAGAGACTTCCACGGCCGTCCTAAGAAGTCTGGAGGAGACGTTCTACTGGCTCGGCTTCACAACCGTACTTTTCACGCTGGGGTGGCGGGGCATGTGGCGGACCATCGCAACGGCTCCTACTCTGCCTTTTTTCCATTGCTCTGGGAAGGACAAGCACAAGTTGAGGTAATTCAGGCTTCAGACTGGCTTCCTAACTTTTAGGGGTAAAAAAAGATTTGGTGAAAGCTTCATAAGCTGTTTTCATTTGCCATGCATACAGAAGGGTGAAAGAAGATGGTTTATAATACTAGATCCAAGAGACTGCGACAAAGTTAATCAATTTCCATAACCGTCCATGTTCACAAATACACATTTGATGGTATATACTGTATGTCTTCGTAATGCTGCTGGAATCTTGTTGCCAAATGGCTTTAAAAATGGAAAATTTTGAGTTTTTCCATGTAAAATGATAATTTTTTATCAACATCCAGGGTATTTGTTCAGCAAATATTCATCCTGTACAGGTTTAATTAAAGGGTTTTGGACTGTAGACTAAAACAGGCTTTAGCATCATTAGCATTGATGAGACGTTCTGAAGAAGATGCTAATGTAACCGCATCCTTTCTGCGTTGTGCTGAAAAATATGTCAATAAAAAACCCACACAGGACAGAAAGCCTGAATAATAATAGATTTTTAAACAAAGTTGACGTTAACAAAACATCAATAAATCAGAATGGAAATGATCAAGCTCACTTTCATTTACATGCAACTAATTGATATCTTACTGTTGCTGCTTGCTGTTTTGTTTTTAGTGGCGTCAATATGAAAGTCTACATTCCAGCTTCAGGACCTGAAAACATCGACATTTTACCAAATCCAAAAGGTAAATCCCAGGGTTGGGCTGTTTGTCTTCTTCTTCTTTTTTTAAATCTTTTGTTCCATTTTTCTCCTAGTTGAGAAGATCAACATCTCTATTTACAGACATAAGTGACTGATTTTATTAAGCTCTCCTTGTAATCAATTTAACACGGATTGGAACATTTCACAACTTACCTGTTGAGTAAATCCATGTGATTAAGATTTTAAATAGAGCATTCTGTTTGAATCCTCCAGATGAAAACGGAATGAGTTTCAAGACCCGCCCCTCTGGTTATTACTACAAGAACTCATGGCAAGCACTAGGTGGCGCCAGAGTACATCAGTTTAACTCCAGTGCAATCAGCCAGTGTCTGAAAGGCAAAGCTGTTCACATCTATGGAGACTCCACTGTGAGGCAGTGGTATGAATATTTAACCGACTCGCTACCAGGTATCTCCCCGGCGAGATTTCTCAGTGGTTAAAACCGGCTCATGTTGCAGTCTAACATGTTGTGTCTTTTCTAAGATCTCAAGAAGTTTGACCTTCGCACCCCAAAGCAAAGTGGACCTTTAATGGCGCTGGATTACGTGAACAACATTTTCGTGACATTCCGCAGCCACGGCCCTCCCCTCCGTTTTAGCAGCTCGCCCGTCAGCCAGCTGCATTACGTCGCCAATGAACTGGACAGAGTGATCGGAGGCACCGACACCGTTGTGGTCATCGGTGTCTGGTCTCACTTCAGCACTTTCCCTTTCGAGGCCTACGTCAGGCGTCTGCTGAGCATTCGGAAAGCGGTGGCAAGACTTTTGAGCAGAGCTCCGGGTACCACTGTCGTCGTCCGGACCGCGAACCCAAAAGAGATGACGCTTTTTGAGAGTTTGACTAACAGCGACTGGTTTTCGCTGCAACAGGATAAGATACTGAGGGAAATATTCAGAGGAATGAATGTCCAACTGGTAGATGCTTGGGAGATGGTCCTGGCCCATCACCTTCCGCACAAACTCCATCCGGAGTCGGACATACTCAAGAATATGGTTGATGTTCTTTTATCTTTTGTATGCCCTTAAGCTGACATACCGCTAGAGGACTTTCCTTCCGTTTCTACTTCTCCTTAAGATCCTAGAGAAAAGTAGAAATGGATTTTAGGCGATTGAGATTGGAATTGGGGAAAATATTGGCGCCATATTGTTACAATTGTTTCATTCGGTTGTTCTGAAACAACCGAATGGTCTGTTACTGATATGTTAGCGTCTTACAAAAGCATCTTCAGTGATTCCTGTCGCGTTTCAAAGACTTTTTCAGGCTGAGGACCACCTGACCCTTTTGACGCAACAGTTATTCTTTTGTTTTTGTTTGGAAATAATCCCACCAGATTTGATTCTGATGCATCTAGCATCCTCTGCTGAAGCAACATTAGCGCATTAGCATATGTTGGCTGAGAAAATGACTGAACAGTGGTCTCTTACGACACCGCGGAGGTCAACGTGACTGAATTTGCACTCGTGTCGCACAGAAATGACCAGTTTCAGTTTCAATAAAGTGCTACTATCAGAAGCTGAGAGTATTTTGACTAGCCTTCAGCCCTCCACTGCTGTCATGATTTCTCGATTTCTCACGTGTCTACAGGTTAACACAGTATTACAGGTATCTGCAAAATCTTAGTCAAGAGATTTCTACCTCATGATACGATAGTACTGAAGTGACATATTCTTAATCTCCAACGCATTTTGAATTCTCCTCCTATCAATATATATATATATATTGCATTCCGACATGCCAAGCTGAAAATGAATTATTTTCCTCTTGAAAAAACAGTTAGCAGGAATATTGTTACCACAGTTTAAGGTGGCCAAAGAAGTTTTCTTTACAATTTAAAGGTCTTTTGATGTACATTTAACATGGATAACAGTTTTTTTTTTCATATAAAGGTACAGATTTTTGTGTCATGAAGTAAATATTTGAAGGCAATTTTAGAAGTCAGAGCTATACAACAAATGACATTTCAAACTGAATGAATCACAAAATGTTTCACTTTTCTGAAAAACCATTTCTTTCTTTTTTTTATTTTTATTTAAAGAATGTAAACGGTGGTTGCTTTTAAACAGTTCGGTGAACTGAAATCAATCTTTCTTGCAAAGAAAAAGACAATTATCACAAAAGGCCAACTGCTGTGTTCAAGTTCCCTCTTGAAATTAAAAAAACACTTCAGTCGTTTGTTTTTTTTTTTTTCTTCTTAAACCTTGCTTAAATAGCCTACTGCTCTTTCTGCTGACTGAGCGGTTCGATGGCAGCGTTAATATGATGCAACAGCATGCAAACAAACTCTTCGTCACCTAAAGTGGAAGTGACAATGTGGAAGCAACCAAACAAGCACAACGTGGTAATGAAGTCCGTCAATGGTTACCACTGTCTTTAAACATCAGGCCTGCATGTTGGCTGAACGTAAATAGGTGGTCCTACGTAAGCAATCAGAATATACCAACTATAGTCTGGTTTATAAAAGAACTGCTGGATTCATGGCACACAGTTCCCCAGTATTGAATGGAAGTGACTCCCTTGATGGCTTGTCTATAATGCAGAGAGTAATAAGATAAAAACCTGCTTGGACCTGGACAAGTTGCTCAGACACATTAGATTTTTGTGCGTCTTTCTAGTTAATTTACTTCCTGTGTCTTCTTGTTTAGAGCGAATAAACGCATCCAAATGTTCTGCACAACTTTCTTAGATGAGGTTAAAGCAATCTCATATGTTCTACTTTGGTGTGATTAGACAACACCAAAGTTGTGTAACTTTGGTGTTGTCTTTTATACTGTCACATGCTGGGGATCTTAAACGTGGCAGACAAATTCAAATCACCCAGAGGTCAGATATCTGTGTGTTTTCTATAGACATTAATGTCCAAGTTGAGGTCAATGTTGAACTATAAAATGTACCGTCTGCTATATTTTCATGAATGTATCTGCATCGATACTGTTGGCACAAAAGATGTCTAATAGAGAAATAAAGTAATATTTACGTCACTAAATTATCCTCTTCAACCCAACTTCTTGGTAACTATCCCTTTCCATTTTTATTCACATAAATATATTTTTTATCTATTAAACTTCTGTTGATTTTGATTATTAGACAGTAATTATTCAGTTTTTTTTTTTTTACCAAACCATTTCATACAAATGGGGTATTAGGACCACTGTAGATTGGAAAAGGTAAGAGAAATAAATCCCCCCGCCCAACAAACTCATACATTTTTAGATATCTCTCAAATTGTTTTCTTTCTTTCTTTTTTTTTTTTTAAAGCGAAAGTTTTACAAAACGCAAATATTGAGATTAATGTCATAAGGTTTTTCATTTTATGTCAAAAAGAAAATCTTTCAGCTTTCGAAACTCAGAAATTTCCATTTTTTTTTCTGGAAAATTTCTGAGATCTCCAAATTTCTTGAGTTTGTTTTTTGGTAAATGTTTGACTTTTCAAACTCGAGAATTTCTTTGTTTTTTCTCGGACGTTTTTGAGAGTGTTTGGCAGAAATGTAGTTGAGTTTTCTTCTTCTACCTACAATATCCCTAATGTACAATCGTGATTTCAGAAGTGACGCAGCAAAAACGCAGCAAAAACGCAGCAAAAACGCAGCAAAAACACACTTGCCAGTCTATTTATTAATTTATTTGCATTTCACACGTTACATCTTCTTATTATAACCTTTAAAACCAATAGACGATTGAATTCAGAACATGGACGTAAAGCAGAGATCATGAGTCAGCCCTGATCGACATCATGCTGTACTTCGCCGAATTATGGATAGGCTCCAGTGAGCCAGTGGACGCCTGAAACCCAGCCAAATTCGTTTCTTGCACGGTACGAAAGGCCATTCAGGCCAGTGGACCTGCAGCTGCAGCAGACGCGGTTGTACCACCAGCCGCCGGTGTTGGTACAGCAGGTGTTGTTACAAATGTGCACTATCTTGCCTCGGTAATAGCACGGGGTGGAGCACTTGTCGTTGGGGCGGTCGAAGGTACTGAACTTGGCGCCGTTTTGGTCGCGCCTGTTGGGTACCGCGGATGGCGTCACCTGGGTGAAGAGACGGAAGCTTTACCATCAGACGACAGGGATCGTTTTTGATTCTGTGTTTGAAAACTCCACAGAACCCATCAACTACACAAAGCGATTCATCCTTTTCTTACCTGCAGTCCCGCTGTACGCCCCAACGTGCAGCGATATGCCGTTCCCTCGTCTCCGATTCTGAAGTCTCGGTACTCGGCATACGCCACTCTGTGATCATGATCCCACAGGTCCACCTCAAAGTCCAGACTTTGCTTGTGTCATTGGTCAGTATGTGCACCTTTTCTATTCAAAGCCAATGGTTGTCTGAGGAATCGGATGAGTAAACATAGATAAATATCCAAATTTACCTCCAATATCTTTGCCATCGAACAAAGTAATCGATGGATGCTTGATTTCCTTTCAACGCTCAACAATGCTTGTCGAGCTTTAAAAACGTTTTTTGCATTTTTCAAAAGTCACATTTGGCACACAAGGTCGCGAGAAGACGAGTCACGTACAAGTCAAGGATCCAAAACCCGTTTTGTACTTCCCATGTTCTGTCAAAGTGACTCACTGGCATAGTTCGTCTGGATCACGAGCCAGCCGACCCCACTACGGTATGACAGTACACCTGAGGAAGGAAGTCCAGCAGAGAGTAAAACACAGCATCATGTTTCAGTGTTTCTTTGAAAGGCTCAATGGTTTCTGTTGAAAAGCAAATCGATTCCAGCCGACCTGAAAAAGACCGGGACAGTTACATCTGAAAAATGCATTTTCTAGACAGACGTAAAGTAGAAAACCTTCATGTTCGTTCAAACTTACTAAAACTGAGAAGTATCAGGGGTGTCCAAACATTTTGCAATTCTTGAAACAAACAAAATAGCACAGAAGTGTTTATCTGTTTTTTTATATATATATATAATGGATTATTAGGGTCTTTGTAGATAAAAGAAAAAAGTTTATGTTTCTGCCAAAAAGCTCAGAAATTCTGAAATTAATCTCAGATATTTTTGAGAAGTACCTTGGAAACTCTAATAGTGGACTATTTGCAAGGAGGGGAAAAAAAATCAGAAATTTTCGGAGTAGTTTTACCGGGTCCCTATCACCCCTGTTAACATCTAAAGGATGGGGGTCAGGGGTCAAACACATTTTATGTTCAGTCTGATAGCTACCTCGAAGCGAGTTTGGTTTCCTGTTGGCTGGATGAGGTAAACACTGGGTCTCGCCGAAAAGGGCCTCAACTTTGAGCAGTCTTTATCCCCCCAAACATTTTCAAGAGAAAAAACAAAACAAGCAATTAACAGGATATGAAATCGAGTCTTTAAATAAATAAATTCTAACATAAACTAAATATACATCGTTAGTAAAGGAAAGCTGCTACCTGAAGGCAAATCTGCTGCCTGTATGGCAACAAAAATGAAATGGTTATCATGCAGGACGTAAGAAATTGTTCAGGTCAGGATATTTTCAGAGGTCCAGTCGTTACCTGGTCGGAGCGGCTCAATGCAGCCGTCAGCACCAACCCGAGGAAGCCGAACAGAGCCTTCATTGTGACCTGATTAAAGGGCAAACACATTAAAATGAGCTTTTAAAAAGAAAGGAAAGCAAAAATAAAATAAACATGCATCTTTCCTCAGATACGTACCGTTTTGCCAGGTGAAGATTGAATCTGAGCGTCCTGAGAGGAATCGGTTTCCTTTAAATGCTGAGACGTTACACCACACCTCCAACTCTTTGTGAGATATCGGCTGAATCGCTTGTCTTCGTTCAGGACAAACAGTCCTGAAAGTAGAAACATTTGAACTCGTCATGTAATTGGGCCAAGATTTAAAAAAAGATATTGATAAGACGAGGCATATGTGGCGTTCAGATTCAGATTATCTTTACTGTCGCTCAGTGTAACGTCAAAGATACGCTGCAGAAGGAAGTTACGGTGAATGTCAGGTCACTAACAGAAACCAGTCAGATGAACTAGAATAATATAAAAAGAAGAAGAAGATAGAATGAAAACCAGATGAAAAACAGGCCAGGCCCTGCAAATATAAGTGCAGGCCTTCGCAACTTCTACTGCGCTTTGGGGCTGCATGCAAATTGAAATGCATCAAGTGAAGAGGGAATGTGCTCTTTGACCAACCTTACAAAAGCATTTCATGATTTTGGATGTAAACGCTATGGCTTTGTGGTTAAAATAAAGCAGAAGCTTAGAATCTACCACCTATAAGCACAGGACTTGAGGACTTTCCTGTCGGGTTGGACTCTGCAAGACAGACATCTGCATTTGGACCTGCAGAAACGGGTTCTACCGGTGTGTCCAGTGTCCAGGCTAGAAACACCCAAAAGCTACATTCCTGGCTGACCCTGTACAGAACGTCCAGGCCTTGTTCTCAACGTCCCCCTGCGTTGCTAATGAAACATTTCCTTTAGTTGGCTTCAACTGTTGCTTCTATGGTGCCTGCTTGGGATTTCCTGTTGCACAAAGAAGAAATTCCAGCAACTTTGAGATATTTTCTGCATCAGTAGATGCAGAAAATATCTACAGTGTATCTTCTTAAACTGCATCATGTCACACAGACGCGGTGCCTGGTAAACACACATAAAAAAAAAAAAAGAAAAAGTTTTTTTTTGTATTTTGAATGCTTCTTTTCAGCACTTTGAACACAGAAAAACTCCCTATCTATCTTTGTCAAAACAATAAAACATAGAGCTCTGCTGCATACTAATAAATTCATTGATTAGTTGGGTTTTTTAAATTATTATTATTATTATTGTTGTAACCAATTTTGATTGAAAATCCAACACATCCTCAGGGGTCTTGTTAACTGTTAATACTTGTATTTGTCACACAATGCAGCTACAGAAACAATATGTGCTTAAAGTTAGTTTTTTTTTAAGACCCACAAGTAAATAAGTGAGCATGTAATTCTGCTGTAAATATACTAAAAAATACTAAAAATACTAAAATACTAAAAATACTATACTAAAAATGTTCCCAGTACAATGGCTGCTGAAAATCCTAAATTGGCACAGAAGCCAAAAATACAAGAACGTTCACATCCTGCTGGGATAAAAAAAAAAAAAAAAAGATTGAAATTGAATTTTAGTAATTATTTTTGATAATCCACCCTAAGAGAACAACGGCAGAAAGAAATTCAGAGACAGATTTGGGACTAAGTGAAGTATCAGCGGGTTCCTCTGGATCATCTGGATCACAAAGTCCGAGAAGGAATGTTGCCTCAGGGCATTCATTTTTACTTATTAATTTTTTTTTATGACAGTAATTTTGAAAATGAAACGCTCAACTCAAATAACAGTAATGCCAATCTGAACCCATTTGTGTGATTTCTTCAGCTCAACAGAACGACAGATAGTCGACCTTCATTCCACCCTGAGTTTAAAAATGATGGATTCACAAAAATGTTCTGAAAAATTTCGATGTAAAATAGTCATAACTTTTAAAAAGCAAAACAAAAGACGGCATTTAGAAGACAACAACTCAGGATAGGGTGTCGTTTGTAAAGTTGCATAAAATTGAGTGTTCATTTTTCAAAGTCATATTTTCACTGTCAGCCATACAGTCATACTTTAAAAATGATGTAGCTTTATGTTATTAAAGCTAAAGTTTAATCAGTAATACTTTTACAACCACTTATGTCAGATTATGATTTCTTGGTTAATGTTAGTGATCCCAGGCACAGCAGCTTCACCATTCTCCCAAGGAGCGGAGGGGGAAGCTGGCGAGTGGGGGATCAGCTGCAGGTCTCATAAGAGTCAGAGACTTCCACGGCCGTCCTAAGAAGTCTGGAGGAGACGTTCTACTGGCTCGGCTTCACAACCGTTCTTTTCACGCTGGGGTGGCGGGGCATGTGGCGGACCATCGCAACGGCTCCTACTCTGCCTTTTTTCCATTGCTCTGGGAAGGACAAGCACAAGTTGAGGTAATTCAGGCTTCAGACTGGCTTCCTAACTTTTAGGGGTAAATAAAAAGATTTGGTGAAAGCTTCATAAGCTGTTTTCATTTGCCATGCATACAGAAGGATGAAAGAAGATGGTTTATAATACTAGATCCAAGAGACTGCGACAAAGTTAATCAATTTCCATAACCGTCCCATGTTCACAAATACACATTTGATGGTATATACTGTATGTCTTCGTAATGCTGCTGGAATCTTGTTGCCAAATGGCTTTAAAAATGGAAAATTTTGAGTTTTTCCATGTAAAATGATAATTTTTTATCAACATCCAGGGTATTTGTTCAGCAAATATTCATCCTGTACAGGTTTAATTAAAGGGTTTTGGACTGTAGACTAAAACAGGCTTTAGCATCATTAGCATGATGAGACGTTCTGAAGAAGATGCTAATGTAACCGCATCCTTTCTGCGTTGTGCTGGTTTTATTGACTAATCAGGTGAGACGTGGTTCTGCCACAAGCTACACAAATTGGATTGTGATGCCAGGATCAACCACGCCAAAGGAGGATTCAGACAAACCCTGAAGCCCACAGAGGAGAAGCTCTTTCAGTGGTACGGTGTTTCAGTAATTCGCTGCAAAAATGTTCAATGTAAATGCAAAGTTGACACCTAAATTACTGTACGGTTACTCAAGTAGAGCAAAAGTTTTGCAACTGTTTGCCGTACTCTGCTCCACCCGCGGCTTTCACCCAATTTCAATGACTTCCTGTCACAATCACAAATGTTGCTGGGCGATAAATTCCCCCAGAAATGTTTGCAATAAACTACCACTGTTTTGAGGCAATTTTCAAGTAATATATTGATGATGTTTTCCCACTCAAAGACAAAGACTTCACTTTTGTACAGAACATTCCTCGGGGGAACTGAAAGACATTTTAAATATCCAAAAATAAACATCCAGACACAAATAAGAAAAATATTGTCAATAAAAAACCACACAGGACAGAAAGCCTGAATAATAATAGATTTTTAAACAAAGTTGAGTTAACAAAACATCAATAAATCAGAATGGAAATGATCAAGCTCACTTTCATTTACATGCAACTAATTGATCTCTTACTGTTGCTGCTTGCTGTTTTGTTTTTAGTGGCGTCAATATGAAAGTCTACATTCCAGCTTCAGGACCTGAAAACATCGACATTTTACCAAATCCAAAAGGTAAACCCCAGGGTTGGGCTGTTTGTCTTCTTCTTCTTTTTTTAAATCTTTTGTTCCATTTTTCTCCTAGTTGAGAAGATCAACATCTCTATTTACAGACATAAGTGACTGATTTATTAAGCTCTCCTTGTAATCAATTTAACACGGATTGGGACATTTCACAACTTACCTGTTGAGTAAATCCATGTGATTAAGATTTTAAATAGAGCATTCTGTTTGAATCCTCCAGATGAAAACGGAATGAGTTTCAAGACCCGCCCTCTGGTTATTACTACAAGAACTCATGGCAAGCACTAGGTGGCGCCAGAGTACATCAGTTTAACTCCAGTGCAATCAGCCAGTGTCTGAAAGGCAAAGCTGTTCAATCTATGGAGACTCCACTGTGAGGCAGTGGTATGAATATTTAACCGACTCGCTACCAGGTATCTCCCCGGCGAGATTTCTCAGTGGTTAAAACCGGCTCATGTTGCAGTCTAACATGTTGTGTCTTTTCTAAGATCTCAAGAAGTTTGACCTTTGCACCCCAAAGTTGAGGTCAGTGTTGAACAATAAAATGTACCGTCTGCTATATTTTCATGAATGTATCTGCATCGATACTGTTGGCACAAAAGATGTCTAATAGAAAAATAAAGTAATATTTACGTCACTACTGATAACTGGTATCAAAAATTACATCCTCTTGCTTCTCACTGACCATTTCAACCCAACTTCTTGGTAACTATCCCTTTCCATTTTTATTCACATAAATATATTTTTTATCTATTAAACTTGTGTTGATTTTGATTATTAGACAGTAATTATTCAGTTGTATTTTTTTATCCAAACCATTTCGTACAACTGGGGTATTAGGACCACTGTAGATTTGGAAAAGGTAAGAGAAATAAATCCCCCCGCCCAACAAACTCATACATTTTTAGATTTCTTTCAAATTGTTTTCTTTTTTTTTTTCTTTTTTTAAAGCGAAAGTTTTACAAAATGCAAATATTGAGATTAATGTCATAAAGTTTTTCATTTTATGTCAAAAAGAAACTCTTTCAGCTATCAAAACTCAGAAATTTCCATTTTTTTCTGGAAAATTTCTGAGATCTCCAAATTCTTGAGTTTGTTTTTTGGGAAATGTTTGACTTTTCAAACTTGAGAATTTCTTTGTTTTTTCTCGGACGTTTTTGAGAGTGTTTGGCAGAAATGTAGTTGAGTTTTCTTCTTCTACCTACAATATCCCTAATGTACAATCGTGATTTCAGAAGTGACGCTGCAACGCAGCAAAAAACGCAGCAAAAACGCACTTGCTAGTCTATTTATTAATTTTTTTTGCATTCCACACGTTACATGTTCTTTTCATAACTTTTAAAACCAATAGACGATGGAATTCAGAACATGGACGTAAAGCAGAGATCATCAGTCAGACTTGATCATCATCCTGGTGATCATCGCCGAATAAGGCATCGGCTTCCAGGTGAGCCAGTGGAGACCTGAACTCCAGCCAATGGGGTCGTTTCCATAGTGCCATTCGCCGTTCAGTGCAGCGGAGCCGCAGTTGCTGTACCACCAGCCGCCGCCGCTGTTGTTGACAGTACAGCTGTTGAAGGCCACATCTCCGTGAATGCACGGGGAGCACTTGTCGTTGTCGCGGTCTACGGTACTGAAGCCTGCGCCGTTTTGGTCGGCGCACGGTTTGGAAAAGCGGATGGCGTCACCTGGGTGAAAAGACGGAAGCTTTACCATCAGACGACAGGGATTGTTTTGGATTCTGTGTTTGAAAACTCCACAGAACCCATCAACTACACAAAGCGATTCATCCTCTTCTTACCTGCAGTCCCGTTGTACGTCCCAACATGCAGTCGATAAGACGTTCCCTCGTCTCCGATTCTGAAGTCTCGGTACTCGGCAAACGCGCGGCCGCCTTCATGATCCCACAGGTCCACCCTCAAAGTCCAGACTTTGTTTGTGTCCTTGGTCAGTATGTGCACCTTCTCTAGTCCAAGCCAATGGTCGTCTGAGGAATCGGAGGAGCAAACAAAGACAAACATCCAAATTTAGCTCCAATATCTTTGCCAACAAACAAAGTACTTGATGGATGCTTGATTTTCTTTCACATTCAACAATGCTTGTCGAGCTTTAAAAACGTTTTTTTTTTTTTTTTTTACATTTTCCAAAAGTCACATTGGCAGACAAGGTCACGAGAAGACGAGTCACATACAAGTCAAGGATCCAAACCCGTTTCTGTACTCAGCCCATGTTCTGTCAAAGGACACCAATGGTCCAGTTCGTCTCTGGATCACAATCCAGCCGTCCGTTTGACGCATCTCACAGAACACCTGAGGAAGGAAGTCCAGCAGAGAGTAAAACACAGCATCATGTTTCAGTATTTCTTTGAAAGGCTCAGATGGTTTCTCTTGAAAAGCAATCGATTCGACCAGAAAAAGACCGGGACAGTTACATCTGAAAAATGCATTTTCTAGACAGACGTAAAGTAGAAACCTTCATGTTCGTTCAAACTTACTAAAACTGAGGAGTATCAGGGGTGTCCAAACATTTTGCAATTCTTGAAACAAACAAAATAGCACAGAAGTGATTCTGTTTTTTTTTTTAATACAATGGAGTATTAAGGTCTTTGTAGATAGAAGAAAAAAAGGTTAACGTCTAAAGGATGGGGGTCAGGGGTCAAACACATTTTATGTTCGGTTCTGATAGCTACCCTGAAGCGAGTTTGGCTTCCTGTTGGCTGGATGAGGTAAACCCCGCTGGGTGCGCGCGGCGACTGAGGCCTGATCTTTGAGCAGTCTTTATCCCCCCCAAACGTTTTCAGCAGAAAAAAACAAACAAAAAACAAGCAATTAACAGGATATGAAATCGAGTCTTTAAATATGCAAAATAAATTCTAACATAAACTAAATATACATCATTAGTAAAGGAAAGCTGCTTACCTGAAGGAAAATCTGCTGCCTGTATGGCAACAAAAATGAAATGGTTATCATGCAGGACGTAAGAAATTGTTTCAGGTCAGGATATTTTCAGAGGTCCAGTCGTTACCTGGTCGGAGCGGCTCAATGCAGCCGTCAAACAACCCAGGAAGCCGAACAGAGCCTCATTGTGACCTGATTAAAGGGCAAACACATTAAAATGAGCTTTTAAAAGAAAGGAAAGCAAAAATAAAATAAACATGCATCTTCCTCAGATACGTACCGTTTTGCTGGGGGAAGATTGAATCTGAGCGTCCTGAGAGGAATCGGTTTCCTTTAAATGCTGAAACGTTACACCACACCTCCCACTCTTAGTGATAACTTCGATCTTGTTTATGAAAGTCACTTGATTTGCGAGGAGCAGTGACCTTCCTCAAAGTCATGTCAGACAGGACTCTGAGACTCTGATAAGTGCGGCAGGATTAAAAACATGACGTCTTACAACAAACATGGACGATAAACAGATTGCATATTGCGGAAAAATATATTATTTCTGCGTTGAATTAAGTTTAAGGTTGTGTTATGTGTTTAAGATATAAAATGGTATAAATAAAGCACTAAAGAACTACATATATATATTTTTGTGGTTTCTGTCAAACAGCTTAATAGCAAGAGCTCACAAGCTTTTTAACAATATTGGAATAACTTTGTTTGCTTTGTGATGAATGTATTTGTCTTTTCCATTGCATTTCTAATTTTCTAATGAATTGAGCTGCTCTTAGTGTAGAAGTCGAAGTCTTCTGTCGAGTTTTCAGATTTTTCTCTGAGGTACAAAAAGGAAAACGCGGAGAGTTTTGAGCCAATCGTGTTCGACTAAACAACATAAGATTCAGCAAACGTACTCAGGTTAAAAATTATATATATATATATATATATATATATATATATATATATATATATATATATATATATATATATATATATATATATATATAGATATATATATATATATATATATATATATATATATATATATATATATATAGGGCAAAACACATTAAAATGAGCTTTAAAAGAAAGGAAAGCAAAAATAAAATAAAACATGCATCTTTCCTCAGATACGTACCGTTTTGCTGGGTGAAGATTGAATCTGTTCTTCTTAGGCTTCCAAATACTGGAAAACTATACAGATAAAAAAAAAAAAAAAAAAAAAAATTTTTTGTGTGTGTTTAAGATATAAAATGGTATAAATAAAGCACTAAAGAACTAAAGAACTACATATATATATTTATATATTTTTTTTTATATATTTATATATATATATATTATTTTTATATATATTTAAAAAAAAAAAAAAAAAAATATATATATATATATATATATATATATATATATATTATATATATATATATATATATATATATATATATATATATATATATATATATATTATATATATATATATATTTTTTTTTTATCTGTATAGTTTCCAGTATTTGGAAGCCTAAGAAGAACAAAACCCAAACATGAGTAATTGTGTTTTTGCCTCTGAAACCATTCAGGTTTGTGGATGTGACGGCTTCCATGTCTTTGGTGACGCAGACGTCTCGGATGTTTTCCATCGTTTTTGCCTTCGGTTATCTTCTCTGTTAAGATATCGGCTGAGTCGCTTGTCTCCGTTCAGGACAAACAGTCCTGGAAGTAGAAACATTTGAACTCGTCATGTAATTTGGCCAAGATATAAAAAAATAAAAGTAAAAAAAGAGCATACACCCGTTGGATATTGAGAAGACGAGGCATATGTGGCGTTCAGATTCAGATTATCTTTACTGTCGCTCAGTGTAACGTCAAAGATACGCTGCAGAAGGAAGTTACGGTGAATGTCAGGTCACTAACAGAAACTAACCAGATGAACTAGAATAATATAAAAAGAAGAAGAAAATAGAATGAAAACCAGATGAAAAACAGGCCAGGCCGTGCAAATATAAGTGCAGGCCTTCGCAACTTCTACTGCACTTTGGGGCTGCATGAAAATTGAAATGCATCAAGTGAAGAGGGAATGTGCTCTTTGACCAACCTTACAAAAGCATTTCATGATTTTGGCTGAAAGCTTTACTTTGTGATTAAAATAAAGCAGATGCTTAGAATCTACCACCTATAAGCACAGGACTTGAGGACTTTCCTGTCGGGTCGGACTCTGCAGGAGAGACATCTGAACAGCAGGACAGAAATTTAGACCTGCAGAAACGGGTTTTATGTCAAACAATAAAACATAGAGCTCTGCTGCATACTAATAAGTAGAATATTATTTAGTCAAAAACTTATAAAAAAAAAAAGAAAAAAAATCATATTTTCACTATGTCAGCCAAACATTCATACTTTAAAAATGATGTATCTTTATGTAATTAAAGCTAAAGTTTAATCAGTAATACTTTTATAACAAATTTATGTCAGATCATAATTTCTTGGTTAATGTCAAGTTGTCATAACAGCGACATTTTGAATAATGTCAGCTTTGCATTAAAAGTGTCATAATTTACCGAATGACACTTTGTGACAACAGTCATAAATATTCATGAAGACTCTCTCATGTTATGTCATGTTTATGACGGTGTCATGACAGTCTTATCCACGACCCGTCAAATAAAGTGTTACCAAAAAAGCTTAAATAAAAAAAAAATGCTTGAAGATTTCAACTAAATTGTAATGGTTTTTTTAAACTGGGCTGTTGTCTGATTCACAGTAGAAATGCTGTTAAACTAGTTGACTTTTAGCACTTTTTTCTTTTCAATCAGATATAACCCAACAATGGCACAACAAGTCATTAGCTTGTAACTCATAGTTTGTTTGGATAATTTTCTATGATCATTTTCAATCTGCATTTCACATTTTGTAATTACTTGGGTGATCTTGTTCATGACATTGAGATCTGCTCGATCTGAAATATTCATATCTTATTAACCCAAAGCGAAACATCAAGGCAATTTGTAGGGGAACAAAGATGCTCATAAGACTGTAAGTTTAATCACCGCCCTGCTCTGGTTACTGTATTAAATTTGATTTGCCGAATGTGTCCAGTAAAGATAGGACATTATTTTCAAAGTTTTGTGTTTCTTGCATCATCCTTCATAGAGTGCACTCATTTTATCACAGATTTTTATTAAAAAAATTTTTTGATACCTGCTTAGTACTTTCAAGTGTGCTCACCAACACAGACACACGCATATACACACACACACACACACACACCCGAAGGAAACTCAGACGGACCATTTATGATAATAACATGCATGTATTTGGACTGTGCACAGAAAAACATACAAACTCAGGGCCTGAACCCATCAAAACATGGAAAAGGTTTTACACAAATTTGTAACTATGAAATTAGCACTGAACCATTTACACCCAGACATGTGTATGTTTTCGTACATGACATTTAGTTCCATAAAAAGACAAAATAATTATTTTTTTATTTCTTACTGCCTGATATTAAACCAGAATAAACTTTTTCCTGTTCTAGGTCAGTTGAGACTACTAAGATATTTTCTGTTTGCTGAAGTCCAGACCGCGAAACCTTTAAACCCAGATGGTGGCGCTATGACTTTGTAACCTTGGCCGTCATTGTTGAGGTGACTCCTGAAGACGCCAAGAAGCCCGGGGCCAAGAAATGTCCTAGTAGTGAAGTTGGACGTCTCATGTGGTGAGGTCACTTTGCTACAAAAGTGACTTGGACCCACAAAATATATAAAATGTTGAAACAACATATTGAGACATCAGCCAGGGAGTTAAAGCCTCCAATTGTCCGTTTGGAAGACACAAAAGGCCATCGTGCCAATTGGGGAAATAATTGAAAACTTTAAACACACTTCAAAATCTGTCTTATTTAACAAATTAAAACAACTTCAGTAATCCCAACTGACCTAAAAAAAAGTTTTGTCTGGGCAGACAGTAAGGAGCAACAAAAAGGTCATGTCTTTTTATGCAGTGCGTGTAAACAACTGGTTTGAACTAGGCTGGGAGCCGACATTCTCCCTCACACCCACTTGATCATCATTCTTGTGGCTTTGGCTGAATACGGGGTGGGCTGTTTCCAGGTGAGCCAGTGGAGACCAGAAGCCCAGCCGGTGTGTTCCCCAGAAGGGTGCCAGTGACCGTTGAGACTGGCGGAGCCGCACCGGCTGTACCACCAACCGCCTCCTTCCGAAACAGAGCACTTTTGTTCCGCGATGCCTCCGAAGAAGCACGGGGAGCAGCCGTCATTGTCGCGGTCGATGGTGCTGAAGCCGAAGCCGTTCTGGTCGATGCCCGGATAGGCTCCACGGATGGCGTCACCTTTTGGGTTGGATAGAGAAGAGTCTTTCTTAGGAAAGTATCTTTCAAAGGGCGTCTGTAGGACACACTGAACTCTTGCTTTCTCTGCAAGCTTTCAATCGGAGAAAATTGAAGAAAAGGAATTTTTAGGATCGTTGAGGTTCTTTGAATTGCTGTGTTTGTCTCAAAGGCCAAACAGAGATAAATTAAGCATAGCCGTATGCAGATGGTAGATGGAATATTCGCGTACCTGCATTTCCTTTGTATTTCCCGACGTGGAGATTGAAAGCTTTTTTCTTATTTTCCAGTTTGAAGTTCTGGTACTCGGCAAAAGCAGTGCCGCCTTCGTGGTCCCACAGGTCCACCCGCAAGATCCACTTCTTGGTTGGGCTCTTTGTCAATGCGAAAACCTTCCTCAGACCCAGCCAGTGATCCTCTGAGGGGTTAAGTGCAGCACAAATACCAAAATGCTTGAGGGTTTTTTGTTTTAGTTTCTCACAAGTTTGACCCCAGTTTTGCAAAGCTGAACCTCCTACTAAAAATCCAAAAACCTATTCAAAGCATAATGTGCCGGGTTTAACTTTTACATCTGTTTTCAAGTCGCCCCCACCCTCGCGCACCGCCCCAAATTTTAACCGAATCCCCAAATGGCATGCAGTTCACATACGTGTCAGGTTTCCAAATCCATTCTTATAAGCTGCCCATTTTCTGTCGAAAGACACAGAGCCTCCGCTGCGCCTCTGAAACACCGTCCAGCCCCCATCTGAGTTCATCTCACAGTACACCTGGATGGGAAAAGCAGCAGTCAGTACATTAGCTCCCCACAGTGTCCACAGTGTCCTCTGATAAAATGTGAGCTTTGATATGATAATATAACACCATTTTTATTCAACCTGGTTACAATCTGGTTGCACCTCTGAGGCTGCTCAACTAGTTCTGTGGTTGCGGTTTGTTTTTAGGCAACCCAAACGGGTTTCTTAGTACCAATCCAGCCTGAAAAAATCATAAAGGGCCCAAACACAACATGGAGCCACTATACTAGATACACGTACTAAAAACTGAATATTAATTAAAAAAAACCTTCCTGGCTTTATAACTGTCTTTTGATTCAGCAAAGTGTCCAGAACATTCCTCAGAAACACAGACGCCTGCTGACATGTTAGCATCACGCAGGCGGTTTGGACCGCTCAGCCGCACATTCGTGACGTGAATCCCTAATTGTATCCTTCAGAGCACAGTGACCCAACTCACTGTTACGTTCAAGAAACCAAACTGAGGTGATTGGAACTTTGTGAAATTCTAATTATCGTGCCAGTAAGTCCCCATTAGAAAATGTCATCTGAAACGGTGCCGCCACAAGACTGAACTGTTGGTACAAGTCAGGATGGATTCGTTGTTTTATGCCGTTTGTGTCAAAATTCTGACCCTGAACATCTCAATGTTAGGAAACTGAAATCGAGGCTCTGAAGAGGACTTTGCCATTTACTGAGGTATTCGATTTTCCAAATACCTCGATTGTAACTGACAGTTCTTTAAAACAACTGCCACCTTTCCTCACCAACCAATATTGGATTTTTTTTTTTTTAATCTTTTTTTCCATCAACTGCAGAAATGACTAGCAGCTCAGTGGTTTTGAAGACACAGAGACCAGCCATCTTTCTTCCCCATTCTGAAGGTTTGGTGTAACAGCATCTCGCCCGTCCCTCTTCCCTGCCCTGTCCTAGACGTTTACACGGAGGAAGTCTCCTCCCTTTTGACTGGACTCTACCTGCGTTGAACAGTTCAACTGGTGCACCTCACCGTTCTGTCGCCTGCTTTATGCCAATTGGAAGCATTCTGGGAAAACTTACTACAGACAGATTTTTTTTGTGTCTTTTCTATGTTAAAACCTTACAATTGCAAGCAATCTGTTTCAGATCATTTACAATTAAAAGCAGAAATGTCTTCAGTCAGTCACCTTGAAGCGGGTATTGATTCTCCTGGGCTGGATTACATAGACTCCACTGGGGGCATTTGGAAACAGACTCCTGATCTGTGTGCAGTCTCTACCTGAAGTTCACAGAGTGAAAGTTAAAGATGAGCAAAACAACAACAACAACAAATGTTCTGTCTTTGTATGTCATGATAAACTTGTTTGTTTGTTTTACCAGGAGATTTGCTGGCTTTCTGTTTTTTCTGCAGGGATGACAAACAGGTTCAGTCATTTGAATAGAGATAAGTGCAAGTTGTAAAGTTGAGTCATATTTACCACAGCCTGGACTGAGCAGCTCAACAGCAGAGCGAATATAAGCGCGCAACAACCAAGGCTCCTCATTCTGACCTGCGTTTAAAAGCGACATTTTATTTTCCTTTTTAAATCAGCAGTTTTAATCTGTTTTTTTTTTCTTTTTCTTCTTCTTTTTTAAGAAACAAGCATTTTCCATTGACAAACGCCTAAAAGCTCAGATGTCCAAACTACCTTAGTGCTGCGGCCTGACTGTGCCTGGTGTAATACATACCTGCATGTTGGTTGGACCTTGGACCCTCAGCTCACCCTGCACAACAGAACCAGCTCTTTTATACAACAGACTACACTGCCACACCTCCTTCCCCACTTCCCATAAGTGTAATTTTTTTTCTCTCTCTCTCTCTCTTTCTGTCTGAGGTCAGACTTAGTGGGAGGATGTGAGAGCAGCAGGTTGGCCGGAGGAAAACAACCCTCATCCTCCGCCCTCTCCAACTACGTTCCGCAAATTCTCAACAAGGACCGGTCAGTATTTCTGCCTGGCAGCATTTCCACGCTCATTTCTCTTTCCCGGCTGGCCGAGCGACGCCTCTCAAAGAAAACAACCCCGTGTATGCAGAGCTCCACCTGTTTCCCAACTGAGTGTTTTTCTTCAAAACCTAAAAGTCTCTGTGTGTGATGTCACTCCCTTGCGTCCCCTTGGACATTTTTTCCAATGTATTACATACATGTTCTGCTTTTATAATTTGATTTGATGTATTTAGTCTTTTTGTAGTTTTGACTTGATTTCTGTCCAGGGAGTGTTGGGGAAAAGCGCCACACAAATAAAACTTATTGTCATCGTTATACTGTAAATGTGGAACACAATCGAACAGAGAACTACAACACAGTAAGGGCCACTACACGTTGCGTCATGGTGACTCACGACTTTCTGTTTCTGTCATCGCATGATTATGGGCCATTACTGTATTTAAGTCAGTTTGTCCACAATTCACATCAGTGGATGACTCAGAATTTCCTCCAACTTACAGTAGCCGTGTGTACTTTTATAAAAATTTCTTCTTTTTTTTTACACAATATTTTTGTTAATACTGTCCCTATGTTGTGGCTCTACAACATGAAACAGATAAACCGTGGAAAAAATAAAAATAAATAAGTAAATCACACTCCTCTGCCTCCACCTTGTGGTCACGCAGCGATCTGCAGAAAGACGTGTTCTGTCAGACACAATCGATCTGGGCCCGGAGGACGGGCTCAGTGATGGCAATCATCCTCACGTACATGCCGCTCACACCCTCCTCCTAGCTCTCTGCTACGCTATAGCTGGTTCACCACAGTCATATTGCTGGTATATCCACCATGATGACGAATAAACAATTTTCCTCCACCGCTAGCGTATTTAACATCGCGTACACAAGGTTGATTGACAGTGCTAAGACTCTCCTCCTGGCTCTGGTTGTTTCTGACCAGTGAAGTATTTGACATGACACAGGAAGGAGGCAGAGGAGCTACTTTTTTTTTCACATTGACCTGTCTCATGACACGGTGACAATTTTAACAAATATGTTACGGAGTCATATTTTTGTAAAGGTGAAATACTGCAGGTTTGATATGGAATGGAGGCCGTTAAATTCGGCCCCAAAAACAAAGGTTTGGATAGGAACCACAGAGCATGCAATGAATCAAGGCGTCATTATGAAGTCAGATCTAAAGCCAGGATAAATGTTACTGGTCAGTTACACACTGACTGATCTTTACCCTTGGGTCATCAGTGACCTGCTTCTTTTAAATTATATCTCTAAAGGTTACATTTATTGCAGCTTCCCATTAACAGGCATGTTCATTTCATCAGTTAATTTCCATCATTTCTTAATGACACATTTCTTGTGATTCTTACATTTTACTCTTATTCTTGAAGTGTATTTCTTGTTTTCATGACATTTTCCGTTTCTCCTGTAAAGAACTCTGGGCTAGGTTTAGTATGAGTGGCGCAGTAGACTTGCTTGACCTGATAAGACAAAAAAAAAAAAAAAAAAAAAGCAACAAAAACAATCCATATCAGAGCAAAAAGCAGACAGTCGCAGGCTCTGGACATGACCAAGTTTGGTTGTAATGAACCCATATTTCTTTGTTCAATTTTTTTTTTGCCTTTAGTTTTTGCCGTTTTCTTTCCAGGTCTTTGGTTTGTGGCATAAGAAACCAAAACTGGAATAGGAACCAAAAAAAAGTTGTATTCATAGTAAAAATGGATTTTATTAATGAATTGTACCTTTCAGCCATAAACTGAGTCTCTAATACAAATGTGTGCAAAACTTTGTTGATATTCCACTAAAGTTGACGCAACACCATTTTGCAGTTGCGGTACTTCCGTTAAAAACAGCAACGCAATTTAAATCCCATGTGAATAACTTTGCTCACGTAAAGTCATTAAAATCAGACCATCATCCTTTACCAACCACTTCCTGTCGTCTTCTTCGTCATCTCTGGCAGTAGCAGCATCTTATTGTTGTTCACGTGAGTTGTGTGACGCACAAAAGTGTTTCCATTGCAATTTCAATACACCCAAAATTTAAAAAACCCACCTCATCAGCTAAACTTTTATATCGACAAAGGTTTTTCTAAATTGACAGGTTTTTATAAAGTGAAAATGTTTTTGAAATGTCAAATTGTGCAACTTTAAGGTAAATGGAAATGCATCTACAGTTTCCTCAATCACCTTCCTCCGAATCCTAATTGGAACAAATAATGACAGAGCAGTCGTCCTCTTCCATCCCAAACCCCGGGTAGAGCGGCTCGCTGAAGTTACTGTAGAACGTGTGAAGATGTCTGAGGCTCCCAGAGGACACCCTGTAGAAGGACAGGGTGCCACCGGGCCAGTCCAGATAGACCGCCACCTTGCGAGAGCGAGACGCGGGTACGGGTATCTCCTCGCGCTCGCCGTCGTGCTCGGCGCTGTAGTGATCTTCGGAGCAGAACAGACACCAGGACTGGTTGGTTTTGCCGAACGCAGACACGTGGCTGCTCCCTCTGCGAGTGATCCCCCTCATGGCGACGGCGACGTCCACCCAGCATCCTCGCCACTCCACCTCCCAGTAGTGGCGCTGGGTGAGGCCTTGATGACACAGGACCTGGTAGACGCTCTCGAACCTCTCGGGGTGTTTCGGGTACGGCTGTGACTCCCTGACCCACGTCACCTGTTTACCTCCGTCGTATAGAAAGAGAGACGTAGAGGCCGTGTTTGGGTCCAAGGTCAGGATGCAGGAGTCTGTAGAAAGGAGGCAAGTTTTACTTTTTTCATTCACTTAAAGTATTTTCCATTGCTTTGACCTCCTCAGGTAATTCATTATCTCTCTATCCTGTTGCAGCCGAGTAGGAAAAACTTACTGTCCTTTTGTACTTTTTTTAAACTTTCATTTTAGAGCCATGTCTCCTGGCACAACCTTCAGACATAGCCAATGCTTTTTGTACAATTTGGTAGACAATTTGTACAAAAATATAACAGTCAAATCTATATATATTTTTTGCCTCTAGTGGCCTTTATTTCATATTAGATTGACAGGAAAGCAAGTTGAAGTGTGGAGAAAACATTTGGGGAACTGTCCAAAACTTGTAAATGTGCCACATCAGCTCAAAACAAGAGTAAAAACTAATATTTATGAATTTATTTTGAACATGATAGTAGAAGGAAAAAGTAGGCATAGTAACATTGTAGATCTTTATACGGTTTTTCGGATGCCGACTGGACGACCTTGTACAATCTTTACAAGTTGTCGGGAGCTAATCAGGCTTTTCCAATGCTGTGAAACACAAATTGGTAATATTGAACGCGGAACATAACAAACTTCAGGAAAGTTTCCAAACTTGCTGAGGATTTTAAGTGGCCACAACAGCTAAACAAAAAAAAATCTCTGAAGAAACAAATGGAAAGAAATATTTATGACTTACAGTTTTTTAGCGTTGATTTCAGGTAGCATTCCTCATTATGATCCACACTGTAGAAAGAAGTATTTAAGATGTTAGAAGAAACTCAAATCCTTAATCAATGTCAACCATAGAGTAGAGAACCATTGGGACACTTTTTCTGTGTGGCGAACATTTTCTGCCCTTCAAAGAAAGCAGCAAAACAGAAATCGATCATTTTCTATGCATTTGGCTCCTTGATATGTTATGAAAGCACATATTGAGGAGTGAAATACAATAGGATGGAAGTAGGAAGGTAGTAGTGAAAGTCCAAACAATTACAGACAATATAACTGAGCTTTTGCATGACAGTCAAAAGCTTTTGAGGAAATGCTTTGAATTTCTTTACCTAGATTTTTGCAATCCCTACAGTTGATTTACCTCAGATGTTCGAGCTTACAAAGTGGATCGTCGCGCTGAGCCGAGATCAGATCCACCCCGGAGTCCTGGAGATAGTTGTAGCTGAGGTCCAGCCGGCTCAGGTGGGAAGGGTTGGCGCTCAGCGCCGAGGCCAGATGAGCGCAGCCTTTCACAGTGACTCCACAAAACGACAGGCTGCGAGACAGGGGTCATGGCAAGACGCTTTTTATACACCAAAGTCACAGCTTCCGACTCGCCTTCATTCTTTCGTTGATTTGTTTAAACATTTTACGGTTTATCGTGATTATTTTGGGAGCAGAAAAGGACGTCTTACCTCAAGGTCTCCAAGACACAGTTTGGGTTTGCTATTCCGTTAGAGAGCAACTCCACCTCCAGGTCCTCCAGGTCATTCTCACTCAGGTCAAGCTCCTTCATGTGGGAGTTGTTGGTGCTCAGGACTAGTGCCATGTCCGCGCAGCATTTCTGAAGACTGCACTCTTTTAATCTGCAGGCAGTTCATAGAAAGTCGCATTGAGGATCACGAGGACGGATCTACTTCAAGGTGTCTTGATCGGAAAGAAGTCAAACGAACAAAATTTACGTCGTGCCACCCCTGGCATGACTCATGCTGTTTGAGTCCAGCTGCGCAGACTTACATTAAAGTCTCCAGTCTGCAGTGCTGACTTTTGAGGCCGGAGCAGAGTGTCCCAAAACCTGGACCCTGGAGGCCGTTCCCACTCAGGTCCAGATGTTTGAGTTTGCCGGAGTCCGTGCTGAGAGCTGAGCTGAGGGAGCTACAGGATTTCTGTGTCAGGCCACAGCAGCTGAGTCTGACCAAAAGCAAATAAAAAGAAAAATGAAAACAATTCAGCAATAGCTTATATTTGAGTAATAATGGCATAAACCCAATAAACAGCACAAGCTAACATTTTAAAAAAAGAATGATTTTGCATTAAAATAGGCTTTTGTAAGTTTCAGCTGCATTTATAAGTGATTATTATTTCAAGACAAAAGCATTTTCTATCCCCGTTTAGAAAAATTATACTTTGGAACTGATTAATTGATCTCAACTGACCTCAGAACTTCTAGTTTACAACTTGGACTTGTTAGTCCAGCAGCGAGCAGGGAAACCCCGGCGTCCTTCAGGTTGTTGTTGCTCAAATCAAGAGATTTCAGCCGAGAAGAGCCCGAGTTGAAGATGGCAGCCAAACCTCCGCAGGAGCCCTCTCCCAGTTTGCACTGACTTAAACTGTAGAGAAAAGTTGGGAAAACCAAATGTTTTTATGACAAGCCAAGCAATTCACACAGATACAGAAATCATAAAGAGTAGCACAAAAAATAAGTCAGAAATGTGCACAAACATGGAAACGTTTCGGTTTTGTTTTCTGTCTCCAAAGTCGATTGCAAATTTTCCGGAGCTCAGTTGGACATGTGGGTGGGCACGCTGCCGCTAATGTCAAAACGTCATTGAAAGAATTACAATCAACACAAAACAGCAGGCGTTGATGAAAGTGCTTGTTGGTTAGTACAGCTGACGTTTTAGCTGGCTGTTGTCCAGGTTAAAATTTCAGCCTAGTTAAAGTTTTCAAACTAATCAAAAGTTTCCCAGAAAATTTCTCAATTCATTGTTGCTCTAATTATATAAAAGCAATGCCACATTATTATGTGGTAGTCTGACTGAGTTCCCCCAACTGGAGTCACGTGAATAACGTTGTTAATTTACTGAAACAACGTGGACGTGTTCGGCCCCTGACACAAAGACGCAGATCAAACCTCAATGTCTCAACTTTGCAGTGACGGCTGCTCAGTCCCAAACTCAGGGCCGTCACCCCACTGCGCTGGAGCTCATTGGCGCTCAGGTCCAGCGCTCTCAGTTGGGTTGACTCTGTGTTAAGAGCAGCAGCCAAGGCCTCACAGCAGCCACCCTCCACCTTACATTCACGCAACCTAAAAACAAGGAAGTGCAGAGTTCTGTTTCAAAAACAAACTGCTGACAGTCGCTACAGCCGGTTTATGAAGGACAAAGTGAAGGGCAATACATATTCTGCAAGAACAGAGAAATGTGCTTTATCTCCCAGGGAAACAAGAAGAAAATCGTGTCTCTCTGTTCTGGCAGCCATGTTTTTGGAGTTCATGAAGCTTTTTTCTTGAGCCACATTCAGGACAGTACGTTTTCAGACAGAAGGTCCCTACAAGGTGGTCACAATGATCATTGTTCTTGTCTGAGCTTCTCTGTTTTTGCAGAAATCCTGTGTTAAAATCTTACAGCACCTTAAACTCCTGAGCTTGCATTGTGGACTCAGTAGACCATCAGAAAGCAGTTGCACTCCCGCATCCTTCAGTCTGTTGTTACTCAAGTCTAAATCTGTCAGATGAGAGGACGTCGAGCTCAAGGCAGAGGCCAGCAATGGACAGCAGTTTTCAGTGAGGTTGCAATAATCCAGGCTTCAAAGGAACAGAAAGGCAGCAGTTAGCAGGGGTTACTTTTTGTTTGACTGTGGATAAAAAGTGCTCGACTCAAAGCATTATATCTAAGTGCTACTTGTTTTTGAATTTGAGACTTTGCAACCAAGGGACAAAAGGAAGATCATGTTATTGGTAAACTTACAGGGCATGTGTGGAGGAAGTTAGAACAACCAGCAGCTTTTCTAGCCCTTCTTCTGATCTTGAGTACTTCTTTAGGTCAAACGTTTCCTCCAGAGTATCCGATGTCATCAGCTCAAAAGTGAGAGCGGACCACTGAGCCGAAGATAACTGTGTGCTTGCAAGCCTCCCGGAACTTACAAAGCTCTGAATCTCCTGCACCAGAGATTCATCTCTGAGCTCCCCGAGACAGTGGAACAAGTTAAGCTTTGATTCGGGTTCTTCATTGATCGTTTCTTTGATGAACTGTATGGTTTTCGCCACATCTTCTTCTCCTTGTGCTTCCAAATGCAGCACACTGCGGAGAAGCTCCTGGTTTGACTTCAACGAAAGGCCCAGAAGGAAGCGAAGGAAGAGATCCCAGTGGCCGTCTGGACTTTTCAAAGCCTTTTCAATGGCAGATTTATGAAAGCCTAAAACAGACTTTCTACACAGCTTTGAGTAAAACCTTCCCAGACTTCCCAGAAGAACATTTTCATTGTTATGCATGTATGAATAATGGGCAAACACAGCTGCCAGAAATTCCTGGATACTCAAATGCACAAAGTCAAAAACTTTTTCTCCCCTTCCTGCCTCCATGTGAAACATCTCTGTGCAAACACCCGAATACGTGGTTGCCTCATTGACATCCAGGTGGCACTCTTTCAGGTCAGCCTCGTAGAAGATCTGTTTGCGCTGTTCAAGCTGACGGAACGCTAGCTCTGCAAGCTTCAAGCAAACGTTGTCACCGCTCATGGGGTAGTGCCTTTCAGCCATCCGTTCGGTTTGGCAGAGAAGAAGATACACGTACATCTCAGTCAGGGTGTTAGGCAATCTTCCGGTCACATCGTCGCGCAGCATTCTCTTAATCAAAGTGACGGTGATCCAGCAGAAAATTGGTATTTGACACATTACATAGAGGCTTTTCGATGACTTCACATGGTCTATGATGCGAAGGGAGAGGGCATTGTCACTCACGCACTTCTTAAAGTATTCTTGCCATCGGTCTTCAGTGAAGCCCTTGATTTCAGTCCACTGGTCAATGAACTTTCGAGGAATTTTGCCCGTCGCCGCAGGCCTACATGTGATCCAGACGAATGCGTTGCAGAGCAGATCCCCTGTGATGAGGTTCGTGATCAGCACATCAAGCGGGGCCGGCTCCGTCTCGTCTCTCAAAACCTTGTTGTATTTGAAATCTAATGGGAGAAGACTCTCATCAAGGCCATCGAAAATGAAGAGGACTTTCAAGTCCGATAGCTTCTCGATGGGTTTTATCTGAGGGAAAAACCAATGGAGTAGGCCCATCAATGAAGAGTTTCCCTCGCCCATGAAGGAATTCAGCTCCCTGAAAGGGAGTGGAAAGACAAAGGTGATGTCCTGATGTTCTTCTCCTTCTGCCCAGCTCAGAGCAAACTTCTGTGCACAGACTGTTTTACCCATTCCAGGTATACCCTGAGTGAGCACAGTCCTTATCCGCCTTTCTTGGTCGGGCTTGAAAAGATCTCGGACTTTAATTGTTTCTTCCGGTGCCATTTGCTTGGACGTTTGCTGTCTGAACTCACGCTCGTCACTTAAGCCTCCCCAGGCTCCTGCTATCACATGCAGCTCTGTGTAGATTTCTTTCAGGTGAATACGTTGTCCTTCACCTGCATTGCCCTCGTAAACTTTCAGACACTGTTCCTTCAATGTACATTTCAGTCTCTCTTGGATTGCGAGGAGGTCACGTTCTGTTGAAAGAATAATTTTGTACTTAAGTACAAACATAGATGAACAAAGAGTTCAATTGGGTGAAAAGAGTTCAAAGAGTTGCTAGCATCTTACCTTGGCTTGTCTCATTTCTTTTACCTGATAAAAACACATGAGAATACAGATTTCACTGACCAACACTTTTTAGCAAACACATTCACCAAGATACTTGCTTACCGTTGCTGCACAATGTTTTTAGTCTATCAGCTAAAAGTTTTTGTTTCATTTTCTCCAGTACGATCACAGTTACGGTAACAGCACCATCATAACCATATGTTTGCGCCACAAGATCCACGGTACGCAGCCTGTCCAAGCCGTCAACTTTACACTTTGGTATATGTCCAAATCCATCAAGGTCGCTGCTGTAAAGATACCACTGAAAAGTCCGAAGATCTTCATCAAGAAGTTCCAGGAAAATATCCAACAGTTGTTCTTTTACGTTGGCCATGTCTGTGTTCTGAGCCAGTCGTGGGATCAGCTTGTCTTTTGTTCTTGTCTGTTCATCCTCAGAACGACGCAGCTGCTTAAATGCAGCAGTACTTTCAGTTTTTAGATGACATGAGTCGTGTGTCTATCATCATCTTTCATTTCCTGCTGAACTGACGCAGACATGTGATCAGATAAAAAGGACTGTTTAAGGGAAACAAGCGCCTCCCCCCTGTGCTCTACCCCTATAAACGCAGTGATGTGTGACTGAGAATGACATAAAACCGTGGCTGAACATTGTTTTCGTGACTTGTTTGCTTTACAGAATTAAGAGACAAACCTATAAAACCCAGATGATGTGCATTAAAGTGAGTGTCATGTTTCATTACAACACAATGACTTGTTCAGCCTTGACAATTGAAGGCTATTCTCAAGGCCTATAGAAGCTGTTCCCGGGATCATAAAGTAAAGACCAAAAGTACTATTTATAAGTTCACTCTTTGCCCTACAGGTTTTCAGTTTATTGTAAACTGCTGTTTGAAGAATGATTAGATAAGAGTAACGAATAGTTTTAGCTGCGGTAGCCTTTGTTAAGGCACAGGCAGTTCTCAGAGGAATGGCACTCTGGACGAAACCCGTCTTTCTCTTCCCTCCTCCTCAATTAAAAATAAGACATTATGTTGATATAAAATGTATGACACAGACCCACAGAAAACAGGTGAGTTGATGTTATTCTGAGCTGCATACAGGGGAAGCCTACCCAACACGTGGAAATATCAACTTCTTATTGACTGCGCATGCATAAAGGCAGCATAAAACTTTTTTGGGTTGCAATTGAAAGATAAGTTAAGTTTCTTTTTCTGTTTTTTTTTTCTTATTTGGTGTTGGTCACTGCCGTCTTGTATTAGGAAACCATGTTGAAAACTTCCACTGTGCAAAATCTTTTTACAAGTAATGTACGCCTCACAGGAAGTCCAAGCTACACACAATATTTACAAACCAGTCAGCTCCAGTTCAGACAGACCAGCCACTACAGCTGCTTTTATTGAAGACCGCTCCAGTCATGTCATGTGACACAAGTTAGCAATTTACAGGCTAAAACTCAGTCCAGTGATGGTTTTTGTGTAGGTGTACGTTTCTGGTGTGTTCCTGTAACTTCAGGCTCAGACAGGTCACGATGTGACTGGTCATCTGAGCCGTCATTCTTCATCCGTATTAGAATCATTATGAAGTTGTGCGTTTGTCAGTATGAGCTTTGATGCAGTGCAAGTCCACCTGATTCCATTCAGTCTATAAAAAAACAGTATTTGAAGTATAATGCTAAATTGACAATGCTCCACGTACCTACTGGCATCCTTGGTGTAGAAGTTATGTATTTTTTATGATATGGTGATTGTATGGCATATGAACAATTTCTTTGTTAGTACCATTGCTGAAATACTCCTGGTATTAAAGGAGTTATCCACCCCAACAGGGTTTCCAAAATGCTTGGTGGCCAAGCAGGCCCACAGCATCATAGTTCCTCCACCATACAAGGTTTTTTTTTCCACATAAATCATTTTCTTCCAAAACCATTGTGTAATGTTTGCCTTTTCTCTGAAAGTCTATATGACATTAGGCAAGTTTCTGGTATTTTGACTAAGGACATAATTTATTAAATAATAAAGTTTTGGTATGGAAGCCTGACCTGGTTTCTATAGATCTAGTATTTGTCCACTAGACTTTTTAGCTGTAGTTTTCTATGATGAACATTTGATGAAAAACTCAATCTGGTGGATTTTATTGTCTTTTTTTCAGATTTTATGGTTTCTTTTTGAAGTATTGCCAAACTGATTAAAATAATAGTTTTTCTCAGTTTGTTGGTGTAATATCAGGCTTCTGAAATTAAATATGACTTTGTTTAAAGACTTTTTACACATGAATACAGGGGTGCCAGTAGTTTTGAAGATTTTTTTTCTGATATAAACTTTAATATAAATATGTTTTTTTTTACATATAAAACTACCTTGCAATGTGACCAAATTTAATTCTGTGCAAAAATGAATGGCGGAACACACCAGAACATAACATCCTCCCTTTACGCAACAGAAGAGAGAGTCTGAGAGAAAGTAACTGGGTGACTGATGTAAACGTTTCTCTCCTGTCTATGTCATGTTTAAGATGTAACAGAAACATATGACAAATAATCTGTTTGCTGCAGTGAAAACAGACGTCTCTCTCAGCAGCAGCATAGGGAGGCCCTACGTGGATCAAGTGATGCAGATTTTTTGAGCCCAAGCAGGAGGCATGGCATCGTAGCCATCAGCATACAGCTTCTCCTTTTCGCCACACGTTCCATCCTGCTGGCGCAAAGGCTCAGGGTCTGTGTACGGTTCCTCCAGAACTTTGAGAATTCTGTTGACCTGGCAAACAAGACGCAAGAAAGATAAACAACAGAAAAAACAGAACTTCTTTTCCGAGGCACTGGATATGTTTCTTGTCACGTGCCACCTTTGTTTCCACTATCTCCTTAAAAGTGCAGATTTCAGAAATACATATGAATATATATGTGTTGCCACTGGCTTCTGTTGTTTTATAGTAGTTAGCCTGATCACTGGGCGTCTCAGTTAGTACATCCCACTGCTCCTGGTTACCATTTGGGAGATTTGGGGGTTTTCCAGCTTTGGTCTCACCTCAGAGAAGTCTCCTTTTTCTGCTGCTTGAATAGCATCCTGTGCAATATAGTTGCGAAGAACCACACGGGGATTGCTGCTGTTCATCTCTCTCAGCCTCTCCTTTTCAACAAGGTGCAAGTCACTTGCGCCATCAAACTCCCGCGCTAAGCGCCTCCTGGTGCAGCAGCAGCGAAAGAAAAACAACTCTTTAAAGGAATTGCGTCATGGTTCTAAACTCAAAAAATAAAAGCCAATATTTTTTATACTCTACAGCACATGTGTCAAACTCAAGGCCCGGGGGCCAAATCCGGCCCGCCGTAGCTTTTTATGTGGCCCTCTACAGTCTAGACTAAACACTAAGTGTGATTAAATATTATATAATCTATCATATCAATGCAGTTTTTATCTGTTTACTGCCAATTTATATCAATCAATCCCTCCAGTTTCTTGAGAATTTAGTTGATGTATGATTATAGTTCATGATTTATACAGCCAGTAAATAAACAGTCGCATTTATTATTAGTTCCTGAAGGGACTGAAAAGATCTTCAATAATATTATGTAATTTTAAGAATTCATTGACATATTAACAGTTTGTGAACAGGTTTTATCAACATGTTCTAGCACAACCAGCCCTTAAAGAGCCTTCATGATCTTGATTCGGCCCAAAACGAAAAGGAGTTTGACACACCAGCTCTACAGTGTGTAGAGTGTAAAAATGACCCTGCTTTTCAGGGTTATTTTTCCTGACCTGTATCTGCAAACCCAGCGGATCCATTCGTCGCGCTGTTTTTCTTTCAGCTCGTCTTGATCCGTCTCCAGGAGCTCTTTCAGCCGGCCCATGAGTTCCAGCTGCCGGGCCACGTCTGGCCTGTCTGCTACCATTCCGAACATGACCGGGTTGGTCTGCGCCATGGACAGAATCATTGCTAGTTCACTGAGAAGCAACAACACAGGAAAGTCAGAAGTTGTTTAAAAAAAGGGAAGAAACTATAAATATAGTTTCTTTGCGTGAGTCACCCAAACGTCATTGCCTAAGGCTAATAAAACCTCTTGCTTTACTTGCTTTGTACAGCGGGTCAGGACTCTCAACTACTGAGAAACAATTTCTTGCTGAATGCATGGTCTCTGTCGAAGTTTCAAACGCTTGGATCTAATTTTACCCAGTCGCTAACAATTGGCAGGGGCTCAATGAAACTTACTGGAAACTGCATGCGGCATAAACAGCCCCATAGCAATGAAGTGTCAAAGACATTCTGATTGTTCCGACTTAATTTGCTCCGTTTTTGGAAGCATGGGCAACACGAACTGCACTCCAGCATTGTCAAACTACAGTCTTTTATAGGCGGACTACAATTCTAAAACAATCAATGTTGTCCTCTTTCTGTTCGCTGATTGGCCCAATTGAAATTCTATCGTAGAGATCAAGCTCAGTGGGGAAAACTCCAGACGGAGCACTGAAGGGAGATGAGAATCAAGTGGAATTGCATAGGAAAGGAAAAATCCAGGCATGAAGTTTCCTTGGAACTAAATATGCCACAGTCTTCTGCTTGAGGAAGCAATAGAGAATGAGGGAAACTGAGCAACATGACAGTAGGCTTTGTAAAAACCATAGAGCAGGTTCAGTAGAGCCGCTAACAAGTGTCATGAAGAAAAGAAAATCTCTGTGCTTCACGTCACCCATTAATGGTCTTTGTGTTCTGCCTAATTGGTGTTTTCTAGTGTGGCCAGTTTCAGATCGCGTCTTCAACTTACACGTTATCTTGGTGAGACTGTTTTCCAAAATGCTGGCATTAAAGAAAACAAAAAGAGGTCAGTTAACAAAAAGGACTTGATTTGAAAAGGTTCAGTGGTGAAACACTCAATGAGAGCATACGGTGGGGCTGGTGCACACTTTGGTATCAGTTTATTGTGTTGTACAAGTAGAAGTAAACTCATCCACCATACACCTCTCACCGGTCCTCCATCGTAGGCTTATTAGCCACCTTTAACTCCTCAATGGAGGCACACTGCTTTAGAATGAGGTCCACCACTGGCCCCACTGTGGCCTTCTCGTCCTCTTCTCCCTCAGGCCAAGGTACCCGGCTGAGAAGGCGAAAAGTGTTGGTGAAATCAGCCCCTGCATTTAAAAAAACAAACAATTAAGAGTACATTTATTTCCAAATAAACCATAATAAAATTATGTCTAGAGCAGTTATTTGTATTTATTTATTTTTTTTACCCGTGTTGTGCATGACCCGCAATAGGCCTGACACGAGGTCTCTGTCCTCTGCCTCTTCTTTTCTCACGAGTCCCAACTTTTTTCTCATGCCACGCAGGTAGAAAGCCTCGTAAGTGGGCATGAAGTCATCCAGCACCGCTCCCGCGTCCGCTGCCTTCAGCTCAGAGCCCAGCGCCTCGGCCAGACGAGCCAGGTTCCAGCGGCACACGGAGGGCTGCGCCTGGTACGAATAGCGCCCCCTTTTGTCTGAAGCATTGCAGACAAAATCTGGATCAAATCTGTCAGACAAATGTGGGTGGATGTGCAAAATCAAAATCCCAATAGAATTGAACCGTGTGGATCATTTTGCAAGTTTTCTTTATTCACATTTAACCCAATGTGTCTTTATACTCAACTTAAAAGACATATTTCTTGAAGAAACGTATCTATTGAATCATTGTCCATACCTGCTTGTCGTTACAGGGACAAGCAGGTATTTCTCTGCATGTCGCTGCGCTGGACATTGAGGGGGCTAACCCAAATGTCAAAAAAAGCATCATTGCAGGTGATCACTCCGATAATTTGCCTTTTGGTCTAACGAAGTTGGAAAAATTGCTGCAGTGAGTCATTACGTTCTCATTCCTTACATCACATACTGTAAATCTGGCATAGATAGACTCATGTAAATGGTACCTGTCCATGAAACCAAAGGGCCCGTAGTCCAGAGTCAGACCCAGGATGCTCATGTTGTCTGTGTTGAGGACACCATGGCAAAACCCAACACACTGCCACTGGGCCACCAGCTTCGCAGTCCGCATCATCACCTGCCGGATGAATCAAAAGCGGTGAGATGAAGATGAGGCAGCCTGGGGGAAGAATGCAATGAGGTCCTACCTCTCTGAAAAAAGAGAGATTTCTTTCCTTCCTGTTGCTGTGAGCCTGCTGAATGCGTGGATAGAAGCTCTCAATCACATAATCCAGCAGCCGGGCACGGATGTCGTGGCGCCCCGCACTGGGACCCTGCAGGCCGGAGAACTCATCCTGGCCCAGGAAGATCTCAAAGGAGCCAAATCTGTTGGTTTACGAAGAGAGAAACGACACAGACAGAATTCAAGTCCGCTTCTTGTGAAGGTAAGATTCTGCTTGTTATCCACACACAAAGTCGAACGACCTGATGAAAGAAGGGGCGAGACGCATGACAACTGAGCAACGCTCCGGAATCCGTTCACCGTTGTTGAGAGGATCTCTGCCGACGAGGAGGTCAGAGGTGACGAGGGAGGCTGCTCGGGTGGTGGAGATCCCCAGGGCAAACATGGCTTCGCTGCATAGGAACTCTCTGATGCTGGAGCGAAGCACCTTCCTGCCGTCACCGTCTCTGAAGGGAACACAACACAGGTTGGTTTACAGGTCAGGAGGGATTTTTGCCCCTTGAAGTATTCCGCATTTTGTCACGCTCCATCCTCAATCTTCTCACAGTTTTATGAAAGTTGACATGTCATGAAAATCCATTTCACGTTTTAGCTAAACACTTCAAAAAAATAAAATAAAAAAGTATTCTTTTATTTTCCCACTTCACAATTACACACTGCTTTGTGCTGGTCTGCCACGGAAAATCCCACTAAAATACAAGGAGGTCAGTGGATGTGGCAGAAATGCTAAAGGTTTTAACAGATGCAAATAGATTCGCAACTTGCTGTAACACTCCAAAGCAGAAAAAGGTGTGAAGTTTGTAGATAAATGAGCTAAAAAAAACAACAAAAAAACATTGTTACTTCCTGTTTGAAATTAGCTGTTAATCAATGAGGAATGAATCAGGTGAGCACCAAGCAGTTCTAAGCTCTTAATCAGCTCTCCCTCACATTCATGCAAGACTTAGAAAGGTCACAAAGGTCACATTCCACCTCACTGTTCTACCAGCTAACATAAAAGAACAAAACATACATATAATGATAATAATAAAGTACCTGGAGTAAGGTGTGACTCCAGCACCTTTCACCTGTATCTCCCAACGTCCTTGGGTTTCAGACTCCACCTCCCCCAGGTACATGACCGCTCCATCACCCAGCTGACCCGCGAACAGCCCGAACTGATGCCCGCAGTAGCAGTGCGCAGCCGGCTCGGAACCGGGCAGAGCTCTGGAGCCGCTCAGATACTCCGGGGCCAGAGGGTCGTCCTGCACGGCTTGCACAGTCAGGCCCAATAGAGAGAGAGCGGGCTGGGACAGCGCCACGAGTCTGGGCCGGAGCAGCGGGTGAAGGGAGCCGACACGGGAGAAGCACGCTGCCGGGACAGTCCTGGAGCCGGGCCCGGCGGAGACATCGACCGGGAGTCGTTTCAGCACCGTGTTGTTGAAGGCGAGTCGTTCCAGAGCGGAGGAGGCAGTTTGAGAGGACTCCATGGAGCAGAGAGGGGATTAGAATAACAGGGCAGCGATAATCTGGGCCGCGAGGACAGGCCGGCCCCCTGCAGAGCAGAGCAGACAGGCTTGAAAGAATAACATCAACAAATCATAATAGAGTCATTTTGTCATTGTGACTTTTTGATCTCATATTCGGGACAGATTTTTAAATTCGCCATTTTATATTTCAGACTTGTAAACTTTAAAATATAAAATGATTATGTTGAAATGTTCAACTTCAATTGTTTTTATTTTATATTTGTCAGTTTGAAACATATAACTTGTAAATTTTTATTTGCATAATTAAATAATATGTGTTCACAATGCTCTGCATCCCCAGAACCAGAACCAAGAGAGGAGAAGCAGCTTTCAGCATCTATGCACCAAAAATTTGGAACAAACTTTCAGAAAACTGTAAAACAGCAGAAACCCTGACTTCTTTTAAATCGCAATTAAAAACACACCTGTTTAGAATTGTATTTGAAATGTAATATGTAACAATGTATTGTTTATTCCATGATGCATGACTTTGTGTTCTTGTGTTTATGATGTAAAGGACTTTGAAATGCCTTGCTGAAATGTGCTATACAAATAAAATTTGATTGATTGATTGAATTATTTTTTTATATATATTTTTTGCTGTTCTGCATTACATTGGAATTCAAAATAATTACAAAAATAATAATTCTGACGTTCAGACTCATAACTTAAACTTAAAACCAACAAATTGAAAACAAAGTGAATCTTACACCTATTCCTGTTAATGTCATGTTTAGTGTTTTTCTTAGCTTGACATTTTTCATTCATTCTTAGAAATACATTTTTTAAACTAAAAACGCGAGGGGCCTTTATGAGTAGAGGGTTCATATGCGATTCACCGCGTTTCCAGCAGATGGCAGCAGCAACCTGGAAAATGTCAGAATGAGCCAACGACTAAAGCAAAGAAGAATTTTCCCACTACTTCTACCTGGGATTAAATTAACGTTTCTTTTATTGCACACAACTTTATTTGACTATCTTTGAGTCTAGCTCGAAACTTCGGCAGTCGGAAGTTGAACTAAAAGCTGTGTTGTCCAGAGTCTGTCAAAAATAAACCACGTATTGCACGGTAGCTGGTTAGCCGGCTAGCTGGAAGGCTAACCAAAGCTACTGAAACTTTTCAACCCCAGCAGAAGGAAATGGACGTCCCCAGAGGTTGGTCTGTTTAATGTGGATGAAAACTAATTTGTTGGAAACGGACAGTTAATGGCGGCGAGGATAAACACAACTTTCCTTGAGCCATTAGCTCATTTCCACAGCTTCTCTTTGACAATACATCGGTATGTTCGCGTTGTTTGGGTCGAGCGCGTGACGAGACACGCTGTCTCTGGATATTTAGTCTCCACCAACAGATGCAGCTGCTCGTGTCTTGGCAGTGTGCCGAGTTTGGCTTCAAAAATGCGGCGTCGGTGCTACTAACAGCATTTTTAACAACGCTGTTGTTGAACACACCTTCATGGGAGGCATTCAGAACAACCATCTGTAACGAACGTTTTCGAATACAGCTTTTAAACACAACAAACATAATTGTGTATGGGCAGAAGGGGAAGATAAGAATCCTTCATTTCAAAATCCAAATTCTGACTTTTTCTGAATTCACAGGTCACAGTGAAAATACTGTCCCTTTCTGGACACTGCAGAAAGACAGTTCGATGTAGTTTCTTGTGAGACAGACAACTTATGTTTTTAATTAACCACAGAATAAATTTGGCTGCCTGCTTTTAGATGACCCGTTGCCCTTGGCATCGCTGCGCCTGCTGGTGCCCCCTCTGCAGCTCATGGCAGCCTCTATGTGGCAGGTGTTGAGGAAACGAGACGTCATGAGCTACTGGAAGGTGTCAGACTTTGTGTCCCTGGTGGTGGACATGGTCCCAGAGCTCCTGATGGACAAACACAGGACTCAGCTGAATTTAGGGTTAAGAGCTCGGGTGAGTATGGGTAGAGTACCTATCCAAACATTTAGAAACAATTTCATGTTTTGGTCGTCTTTGACGCTACAAGTGGCAGGAAGTGACAGAGTTTTTCCCTCCACTGCAGTATATAATTGAGTTATGCCGTGATGAGCATTCCAGTGAGATGGTTCTGTCTTACCTGGAGAAGATGACGTCACCACATCTCACACTGGTGAAAGCTTCTACTTGCCCTTTACTGTTGCCATTTTTCCTTTTTAACGCGGTTTTATGAACTTGTGTTAAATTTAAGGTTATGTTCTCCGTGTTTCAGATGAGAGAATCAGACGACGAGTCGGTAAAAATGAATTTTCTTGAGCTGATTCAAATTCTTCTCAAAGATCCGGAAGAAAGAAAGCACTTTTTTATGGTAAGACTTTACACTTGTTCCTCTATGAAGTCACACAATGCGGCAACTTTGTGTGACAAATGTTTCACACAAAATTCTAGATTGTAGAATCTAGCTGTCTTCAAGCTCCTGTTTTTAGTTTTTGTAGTTATAAAGATATATAATTAACAGTTATTTATTAGACAGCCTTAAATGTTGCTTTTATGATCTTATATGTCACCTTCTTGATCTTTCTGGAAATCAAGTGGCTGCTTTCTGGAACTTACAGGTAATTTTCAGAACTTTCACGTAATTTAGTTCTGGAACATAACAGGGTATTTGGGCAAACCTTTAAGACATTTTTACTGGCTGCTTTCCCAGAACTTGTGGTTCACTGTCTTGGCCTGTGGAGTTTCCCAGAACTTGTGATTGTGTTCCCAGAACGCACCAGACACTTTCTTTGTTACTTCTCAGAATTCACTGGATGCCCTCAGGAATCTAGCTATACTATGAAGAGACTTAGTATTGACTAAGTTTAATGAAAGGTACAGAAAAACATTTATGGTTTGCTTTGTCCTTTCACATCATTGCAACAGATCAGCTGAGATCCTGGGCATTCGGAAAACATGAAGTTGGGATTATGTAACCAAAGGGTTGTGGCTTCCAGCATATAATATAAAGATATGTGTCAGGACCCGAGCAAGAAACCGTGTCGTTCACCAATCTCAACATGTTATTATCTGAATCAGCATCCGGTTGTTCTGCTCTCCGTCTTTGGACTTGTGCCGCTGTTTTACCGCATCACTGCGTCACTCCCGTTCTGTAATTCCAAATTACCCCTTACACGTTCTAGTGATTACCGGTCTGAGACTGTCCGTCCAGGGGAGTCGAGGCAGAAAATAATTCCTATGTTTCATGACAGTATAGGCTGTTGTATGCGGTGCCACCAAATATTGTAATACTTTCGAAAAAGCGGAAAAGCTCTGAAAATGTCTTTTTCTTTTTTTGTATTGTTTTTCACCATAATTTCTTTGCTTTAAAGGACACCTTTCCTATAGAGTATGGCCCTCAGTACGACAGTGACTTGCAGACACTCTTTGCAGAGTTTCTCTGCCGACTGTTTCAGCTGGTTCCGGTCCCTGACCTGGAGCAGGTGAGCCCAAGTCCGAATTGCACCGGCAATTATCAAACTGCAACAGAGAACTGTAGAACATGGAAAGCATGATTCCAATTCAAGAAATTGAATTCTGCAAGATATGTATCATGACACTGGCATAAATCTGTCAATAGAAGGTGGACGAAACTAACAGCATCACTGCAATAAATATATTTGATATGCCATGCTCAGTGCAAGAATATTATTAAAGGGGCTTTATTATTTATTTTTCAGGCACATAGTGCCCTTTTATACCACAATAAAATAACTATATACATAGATCAAAAATGACTTTAAAAACATTTACTTTATTTAATGTCTTTTTTGAAACTGAGTTTTCAGGAAGTCATCCACAACATCGCTGCTCTATTAACCCTTTAACAACCTGCACCAGTAGAAACGCAGAAGTGTCGTCTCAAAGGCAGCGCTGAGTCCGACCAGACATTTTAAAGGATTTCTCAAACATGAACGAAAGATTCAAGGCAACAATCTATGTATGTTTCTGATGAGGGAATAACATTATAATGTTATATAAAGCTCAAAGAAGTTGTTTTTGCATAATACTGCCCCTTTAATATGCCATGGAATGAGATTATTTCTTCTGCCTTCCTCTTTGACAAGGTGGCATACTGCAACATAGAGGGCTCTTGGAAAATGAGACCTTTCAAGTGAAATAGTGTGAATATTGATGTCGGACGTTTTTCTCAGACTGTGTCCTGGCTTGGAGCGGAGAGCTCTCTGTTGGAAGACTGCTTGCAGATCGTCTCTGAACCCACAAACCTGACAAATCTACTGCAGCACCACAAGAACCTTGGGCATCTGGACCAACATGGTAGGTTGCTTCTTTTGAGAGCGTCTTCGTAAACCGTATTAGCAATCGGTTTAGCAGCAGAAGAAGATTTTTGGGAGCCGCTGGTATTGGCTAAACTTATGGTTCTGCTTCACTTCTTTTCATGCAGTTCCGCCTGCTAGCATGGGCGACAACATCTCTTCCTCACTTTCTGCCCTTCCCCCGAGGAGACTGGAGGAAACCAGCGAACAACAACCTGGCCAGTCGGACCCACTTCCAGACCTCCACGTCGAACCACAACTTGCACCAGAAATTGTGGAAATAGTTACAGTTTCTGATTACTCTGAGGTCGAAATAGACGCGAGCTCCAATGTTGAAGTGGTGACCGAAGAAAACTGCTTTGAAGGAAGAGAAGACACAGCAGGGGAACGTTCTGTGGTTGTGTATTTGGAGAACACAAGCGAAGAAGAGCCAAAAAGAGAAGCGACCGAACTTCCATCGTCTTCTCAACACAAAGCTGCCTCAGGCCCCCATGACTGCCCCCACTGTGAGAAGAAATTTAAGTTTGCCTCCTCTTTGCTGGCACACAGCGTCATCCACACTGGAGAACGCCCCCATCGCTGCACTGACTGCGGCCACTGCTTCTCCTTTAGGCAGTCCCTCGACAGACACAGACGCACACACAGAAAGAGACGCGCGTATGTGCGCGTGGACACGGCCTGCATGCCGCACACGGAACACGGCGTGCACTCGTGCCGTCTCTGCAACGTGGAATTCAGCT